CCCGATATAAACGGGCAACGCGTTTCGCCATTCCCCGTGTAATCGTAAGAATTCCGTGAATTCCGCGGTCCGGCTCGATCCGTCAAAGGACAATGAACTAATCAAAGGCAGCTTTGGATTCCTCGTCCTTATTAGACTGCGCCTGCGAGAGGGGGTTGGGTGTCAGCGCCGGTTCGTGACAGAACGCAACCAAGAAACCCTAAAACGGGTATATACGTATATATATATATGTATGTATGCGTATATTCGTCGGTAACGTTTCCAGGGAGAAATTGGAGAACGTGACGTCGTGCATATGTAAATTAGCCTTAACGCGTCGGCTAGTTGGGATACTCGGCTTGTTACCCCTAGCCCAGGCTCATAGTACTGATAGAAACGTACTGACAGTAACATTGCCAAATGGCCACTCCCAATGCCACATGCAGAATCCAATGCAACTGTATATAGATATACCCTCCACTTATACGTAACGATAAAGATATAAATGACGTCACGAGACAGTGATAATCACACAACGATTATTATTCTATCCACGTATACGTCACGTGCATTACATTACACACGGGTACATTTTATCGAGTCCAGTATGTGGTGCATGGTGAACATAGTATATCGGAGGAACATGCGCGTTTCGCGCGCGACGAGACAGTAGCGCTCTGGAAAAAAAAACAATTTTCGTACTACATTTATATTCTAGAAAAATACAATTTATGTACCGAGCAACCAATTTACGCTGGCCTTTTTTTCCAAAATCAACCATTACATTACAAACCTCAAATTCGTATCTACGTTCTGTTCACTAACTAAAAATTCACTTTGTCGAACAATGAATTTTGTTTCGTATCAAACCAAAAATCCCTTTCAGCAATGAATCAGCACCATCTAGCGTTAAATTGACTAAGCTTATTTCAACGTTCATCATTGACAAATGCCAAGCAATGTATCTCCCAAGCGGTCAGTCTATTTTTCAAACTGCAACTTCGCACTCGTCGACTGACGACACCGACCGCCAATCAGAGTCCGACTAAAGAGATAACCACGTTAGAATCGAAACTTCGATAAAACCTCACGTGGATTTTTGACTCGTTTAGAGGAGGGTACAGTACCAGAAAGTACAGTACAGCAAGAAAACGTACGGTTTGGCTACACACTGCGGGCTCGCTGAGTCTGGCATAATACGAGCCTTGAATTTTAGGAGTCTGGACCCTTCTGTACAGAGGGGGTAGGGATCTGGGTCACCCCTAAGGCTAGAGATGCCAGAGGGTGAGAGTAAGGGATGAATTGGGGGATCGATCGATTGGCTAGCGAGCCAGTCCGACATACTCTGTAAAACCTGGCATTTTTATTTGACCGACGCCGACGGTCCGTATACTTATCACAGAGGGATATCGCACGACGTATGACGTCGCGACGCTTAGCGTTCGATTCTCCATACGTTCGTCGAAGACTTTCCAGGATATTTGTTGGCGTCACTTTTTCTACGCCCCTTTCGATCGCGCGGAGAAACCACCTCGGGGATTCCTTGCGTCGTTGACCGTAGGGGCTTCGCTTGCACGCAGGTTCCCCTCTTGTGAGCGAGTAAAGGAACGTGAAGTTGGACCGGAACGAGGTATCGATTGAGGGCGCGTAGATTTGAACAATATAAATCAAGGTGACGAGGAGAAATCGAGTTATTCTCTCATCCGATGAATTTCAGGATCAACGTTAAGACTAATTCCTCTTTTTTTTTTCCAAATTCCAAACGAATCGAGCAAATTGTAAAATTCCAAAATTTATCATTGACAATAGACCGATGAAGCGAATCAAGTGCTAAGGCGTCTAGATGGGAAGACGCGAGGCACTCGCGTAGCGCCGTGAAGGTAGCGGTAAAGCCTAAAGCGTAAACGAAAAAAGAAATACGGGCTGCGGTCGGCGATACCGGAGGAGACACAAAAGAGCGTACATCTATTTATCAGCATTTCCACGAGAAAGGTTCGCGGCTCGCGATATTCGACGATTCGGCAATTACACAAAACAAAGGACACCACTTTACGCTCGAGCATCCAAACAGCTGGATAATTTTAAATCGACGTCTGTTCGATGAACCGGATAACAGAGAGATGCCAAGGGGATGGATATACGTAGAACGAAGAAGAGAACACCCTTTAGCGAATACCCAAAAAAAAAAATAATTAACAAAAAGAGAGTATACGTCGTGACATAAAGCAAAGTTTAACGTCGACAAAATAAACGAGTGAACGAAAAATCAAATTCCACTGAAGGCGAAGGACATAGAGAAGAAATGAAGAACCGTCGGTACCTCCAATCAACGCTAAGCGCATCAAACGAACTTCCGCTTCCTGAAACCGCGGAGCGAATACTCCGATCGCACGTGAATACCGTAAAGATAGAAGAAAAATCATCGGCAAGCCAAGAAAAAAATCAAGACTCCCGTGATACAGCGATTGACGTTGAAAGCGTAAAATTAATATAAAAAAAGCACTTGCGTGTAACCAAAAAAAAAAAAAGAGAAAAATTTTCAACCATGAAATAACCACAACGATCGAATACGTTGATTCCTAATATGTGAAACAGACCGTAAAAATTTTCATAAATCCCAACGAGTTTCGTACGAACACCGTAGGTGGCCGTGACAATTATCGACTGAAAGTTCAGAAATCAAGAGGAAAGAAAAAAAAAAAAGGAAAAAATCCACCTACCGAAAAAAAAAAACCGGTTCCCGAGTTCCGGACCGAAGCGAAACGAGAACGGGTTACAGGGACAGCGCGGGAATTCCTGGCCGGTTATTCGTGCGAGAATGGCGATGCCCAACTACAATCACCATATGTGGTTAGAGCGACGAAAGAGAGTCAGAGACGAAGCCACGGAGAAACCAAGCGAGAGCGAGAGAGACAGAGAGTTAAAAGGGGAAGCTAGAGCAGAAAGTAACCTGATGTAAACGCCAGGAGGACTTTACTTGCGAATCCTCCTGCCTGCCTGCCTGCCTAGTCGTCAAGGCTGACCGCGAGCACGAAGAACTGAAGACTGGGAAGTGCGGGCTGAGGGGCGAGGGCCAGAAGAAATTAAATCATTAGCCGTTGCAATGTATAAAGGAATTGTCGCATGAATGAAAATAAATTATTATCCTAAACGGGGATAAACGCAAACTTTACGTAAGACACGACTGCCCATATGCACATAATATATACAGGCGTGTAATAACCCAGAGCGTGTACATACACAAACAGTACGTATTGTGGAAAATATAATATTACGTATTTAATATTGAGGACGTATACCCGCGGCGAGAATTATTAATCGCGCGTTAGCCGATGCCTCCGATAAGCCCGGGAACTTTGAACGTAAAACGTAATTGAATATTGCACTGTGGCGACAATGTCGTATATGTTGAATTTAATGAAAAGCCGCAGTCTCATGTTCGAAATTAGTCATACAGGTACACTGCGTGATTGATACGTGTAATTTTCACGAATGTATCAGCTATCGTGAGAGTAAGTAATATTCAGGTACAAATGACAGATCGGTTAATGATCCACAGACGAGGTCGAAGCCGTAAATTAAATGATGTAAAAAGAAAATTGTAGTGGAGCATGTGAGAGGAATAATTTTTCAAAGATACAGGCTATCTCCTTACCCGTATACACCAAGTGCAATTGGATGGTGCTCGATGAAATAGCTCAGCTAAAAAGAAGTATTTCGACGTACCCAAAATGCAGCTACACCAGTGCAATATTATATCTGAAAATATATCCACGATCGGTTGTAGATATACATATATATGGCTATAAGGTCGAAACGAAAGATACGATCCGTACGTTCGGCTGTTTCTTAGACAGATGTAGAAAAAAAAAAAACCAGAGATTCACTTCGGCTACTTGGAAAGCGTAGTAGCTATCTGACGTGTCCAAGATTGAAAAAAAAAAAATTATATAAACCATCCCCGAGAGCGTATGTCAAATTGCGGATTTAACGGTGTCGTGCGAGGGAACGTCGAATAAATCGTCGACGTTAACGCGCCGTTGAGCTCTTGGCGTAGCTACAGAAATCCTCGTGTGAGAGTAGCGGGAGGAGAAGGAGAGGTGGAGAGGGAGAGGGAATGAGAATTCCGCGAGAGGAGGAGCGAGGAGAGAAAAGAGTTGAAGGAGAAAAAAAGGATTGACCATCGGTCCAAAAAAAAGTACAAGAGGGACAAAGGAGAGAGGCAGATAGAAAATAGTGGACCAACGCAAAGGACGAAACTTCGAGAAAATATGTACAGAGTGTATTTCGTCGAACCTAAACAATGTACTTCGTCATTTCTTTTGTTTTTTTCGTCGAAGAAAAGTCCAGCGACGATATAAAAAAGGAGAAGAGAACGATGCGCCGTCGCGCCTCGGATAAAATCCGATCTAGTAACGCTTTGACGGTTCATCGTGCGTGTGCGGCCTAACGACCGAAAGGACCCGCGTGTATGTGGACCTGCGTTAACGTGATTACCATCGTTCCATTAGAGCTAACGATTTAGAGACCTTTCCCAGGGAATCGTGTGATGTGCCTGTATGTGTGTGTATATATATATATATATATTATATATTAGAAAGTCCAGAACAACGTCAAGTTCACTTTCTTCGTAATTTTTTTTTTACGTATAATTTTCATGCCACGGCTTTAACACGCCTTTATTGCTGATGAGCTTTAAATCCGTGGTCACGCTGCATGGTAAACGAAAAATATTTGCACGAGGTGCAGGCGCTGCTGGGTAATGTGTAAAGTCAGTCAAGTCAGTGAAGCCATGGCACCTTATCGTGTCTCGACTGCATGCGCAGGTTAGGTTAGGTTATACCAACAAAGATATATACACACGTAGTGCAGCCGAGACAGCTGACCGGCTGTCATACACAGAACGCACGTGGCGTCTGGCGTGGCGATAGTAAAGAAATGCCTAGAGCGCTTCCTGCAGTCATTCAGCGAGCAACCTTCGCCATCCCGATACACGTAGTACGTGCGAACACACCCATTTAGTAGCTCACATACCGCGACGGGTTTACGTGCGTGTCACCGCCGTTGCGAGGGAATCGCGTTACACACCGCCGCCTTGACGTTCATTCAGCCTTTCAGTGCGACTAATGTTTTGTAATAGCGAGTAACTGAATACGGAGGAGACATAGAAACGTCAGAAGCGTGCTTGAATAATTGCTGATCGAATTAACGAACAAATATATTTACACGTACGCGAATTTAGAGTTTGCTGCTGATTCATTCAATCTTATTGAATTAATTGAACATAGAGTAACGAAAGACATTTACGGTCAGAGAGTGTCTTGCCGGATTCAATTTAACTAGTATTTTGTTTTAACAACCATTTTGACAGGTTCGCTAATTCCGTGCCATGCACCAGGTTCGAGATGCTAAATGGTAGCAGTGTCGTATTAATAGGTGAGAGGAATAAGCCACGTGCTGACTTTGTTAGGTACGCTAAACAGAAATAATGGTTCGAATGGATTTTCTAGTGAAATATCACGAGGCGGAGGCTATAAATAGGATAAAATGTAACATGATTGGAAAATACGCGAAGCAAGACTGGTGTTGACGTTCCTTCATGGCAGCTATACACGCGATATCCTGCGGTTTGTCAGCGGGGATATATAACGAGTGGGTAAGCCGAGAGGGTGAAATCGCACATACCGAGACGATGGAACATGGAGACGTCGTTCGTTAACCTAACTAAGCTATATCATATATCGTACATAAACTATGTAGATGAACGCGGATAACGTGTCACGCGATGTCAAATTATTCCTTCCTCTTCCTTATTTACTGTTAACGTTCGTTCGTTTACTTAAAAATCGTTTTACATACCCAGCTTCAGTGCACAGCATACGACTATGGTAGTAGCAACCGTATTACCATACATGCATGTCATTAATGAATCAGCTGTTTAACACGCGGTCAGACAAAATGGATAGTCGTACCTTGGTATCCTTGGACGTGTGGTAGTAGTAAACAAAGGCAAACATCCACGCGCATGACAGTAGAAGCACAATTTTCACATTTCGCCGCATGTCTGCTTTAACGTTTCTCCTCTTCTTGATAAACTTCAGTTACACCAATTCGATGCTCTCTAACTGCAAGTTTATTGAGTTCTAACTGTTCTCTCTCTCTCTCAAGTTTGAATATTCTTCTAAAATACAGAAACACACGGTAACAGGGAGGTCACGGTCGGCCCGGCGCCACCTGCCCTAGCACGACAAACACTAAACAAGTTACCGCGTCGGCAGCCGAAGCCGTACTGAGGCGTCGACGGAGGCTGTGTCGACTCGCCGAAGTTACCAAGCTTTCTCACCAGGCGGCAGGCTCGTCGGGGCGTACAAGCCTCCCTCTATTCGTTCAACAATTCTCTGCAACGTCTCGTAGCTTCTCCTATGGTTCTCCCATTTGGATTTATTACGATGTCGACTTCTCTTTTCTGTGAGGCGTCCCGACGCGGTGAAAGGGCGCGAGATTTTCAGACGCATCGATTTCAAGACCAGGGCTTATGCTGTGTGCTGGTTTTATCTTGTATACGTCAGATGCAAAAACAGAGAAGCAATGTGAAGATCATAAAACCTTAGTATATATTCACGTTGTTGTACGCTATATATGTATTTTATATGTAACATAAAATATGCTGGTACCTGCTTACAATTGGAAAGTAGAAAACGGTTTGAAGATACCATAGAATCCACGACAGTTTTACAGTATTTCAAAAAAACCTTTAGTAGTTAGTACGTACTTTGTATCCATAGATATAAAAATCCCTGGAGTTAAACTTCAAAAGTCATTGGACTACTATAAATGTAATATCGAAACTTTTGGAAATGGTTATGAAGCAAATTTTGAAAACTAACTCACTGTAAACATTGAACTTTCAACTACACTAAACAATGCAATTAATCCGTTCGAGTGTAAAGAGATATCGAGCAAATGATCCTTACATTTCCAGCTACCCTAACAAAAGTTCATCAAATATATACAGTATCACATATTATAATCTCTTATTACGAAAAGGATCTTTTAAACTACACTATACTTTCTTAGTTTCAATTAGAACTTGTGTACTTATGTATCAGCATCTATATACATATACCGTACACGTTACACGTCAGCGATCCGTAAGAGAAAATAAAAGTGAAAAGGAGGACTCTGTAAATTGCCCCCTTTTCAATGCTAACTCTTCTACAACTTCCGGCTGATAAAGTCATGACGCAAGAAGAAACGCGCGGGAAACCCTACCATCAGTATACCTACATAGCCATCGGTACCAGTATATAACATTACTATTATATTCGCTCTCCCCTTATTACAACAGGTAAACTAGTACGGCTTGGAGTCAGAACGAAAATGGCGAAAGGAAATAAGAGGAGCCTCCTCTCTTGTACCAAAGCGGTTGCCACTCGGCCATATCATTGCGGAAGAATAAGTCGGTTATCTGATTTGGTATAAAACCGCAGCAATAATCCTCGTTATGGAATAAAGAACTAGTCCCGGTGTCTTCTGTGTCATTAAATGACCTGGAGGAGATACACTTCTGTAAATGATACCAAGGATATAAATATATATATATATACACATACACACACGAATATATATATAGATATATTTTACGGGGTAGAGGGAAAAGCAAACTTTCCACGTTAGACGTATACGTACTATATATCAATAGTTTATGTACATATAGGATTGTTACTGTAGATTCATACCGATATTATATACTATATGAGTGCAGATTAGAAATTGGCTGTGACGATTCTTCATTCCTTTCGCTCTTAGAAATATTTACGATTGCTGAGTGCAAATAAAATATACATATAGTAATCACACGTACTGAGCATCACATCAGCCTCGCGGGTTATTCAAATGGCCTCGTATACTACATTATGCGAATTTCTGGGAACAAGTTTAGAAAGTAAACAAGCATTTTCGAGATTGGTATTTCGCTTACGACTATCTAACAGTTCAGGGACAAATTAACAAATTTACGTTATTGGCCTACCTCAATGCCGTACGTCAGTAGCTGATTTTTGTTCATTTCTCTATGGTTCCACGGATATCTGTTTCTTCACTTGTATGAAACGAGGTGTTAATAAAATCCAGTTAACTTGTATTTGTAAGCGTTTAAAATTCTTCATGGAGAAACTAGATGTTTGGTAACCTAGAAGCTGAAGGCGCATTCAAAGACGGCGATGTTGTCGTTCGCGCTAGTACACGACCGAGTAACTTGACCGCGTGTGAAGCAATTAAGTCAAGATTAATTAAGAACTTTGTGGGCTTTCGTAGCAATTCACTTTCTGTATAAGTAAGAACAGGCGAATTGTAATGATGAGGTTACGAGTATTACCATACGTTGGTATACTTGGACCGATATGACGGTAAATTTGTAGGCAGAATCACAAGCCTGGGAATATTGGGAACAATGAAACGATAAATCACTAGAGGATACCGAGCCGAGTGCAGCGCCATCATTGAATCTTCATACGAATTCCATAATGTGATGCTATTCGTCCCATACTAAAAAATGTGCATATTTCTACCGTAACCTGTTTAACAGGATAAGACTCAGTTATTGTAATTATTTAGAAGATTACAAAACAGCGTTAGAGTCTAAAACATTTAAATGCGATAAATAGTACTTATTTTTTTGACAAGATAGAATTTCTCAATGATTAAGAAAGTAAATCTCATTAGCAGTTCTTTGCGAAATAACTTTCACTGACAAAGCATATTATAATTCAATAGATCATTGGAACCGTTCTTGATCGATTGAGCAGGTCAATCATCCTCGTCCTGTTTTCTTTTCCAGAGAAGGAAGTGTTCAGAGAAATGGTTTTTCCTTCTAGAACAATCTGAATGATTAGGTCAGCGTATCTGGAGGTACCGACCACTGTTCATTTCTTTCTTCTTTCTCACTAGAATGAGAATCGTCTGCTGGCACGGTCTGTTGACCATGGATAATTCTTGGTCACGCGTTGTAGAATGTGGACTTTGACAGAACGATCTGTCATGGTAGTCAATAACTAGCAAAAAGTCATGGAGGACCGTTAGATGCTTTTTTGACAAATTACCTATACGCTGACGCTGATTGGACGTGTATCAGTCCGTGGATGTGATTAGAGATCCTCTTCATTTTTCATATTCATCCTGGGTCATGATATTTATTCGTTATCCATGATCCGTTTGAGAGGATTTTGACTCATGCACGACGTAAAACAACCAAATATTATTTGGAGCGTGACGACCGGGACCAGCTTGTGAATAATGAACTAAAACCTAGAATATTTCTATAGTGTTAACATAATTTACCATTGATGAACCGGAATAATCGATTAGTTAAGAAATTATTGAAAACTCTCAAGCAGAATTTATTCAAGCGCGTCGCATCGTTGAAGGCATTAATTATAAATCAAATAAATAATAATAATATGTTTGTAGTCTATTATTTACCTATCATATCTAAGGTTTAATTTTTCTACTCTTTAAGACTGTCTTTTACCCCTTGGTACGGATATCGAACGTCCTTTGTACAGTTTTAGTAAAGATTTCCCCCATTCGTGACAGTGTTATCACAAAGCTCTTCCTTAAAGTATTTTTATTATCAATTGTTCAGTGATAATTCCACGTCCTAAATTCCAGCATCTTCACTGTATATCGTGCAATTGGAAAAATTATTCAGATCAATTCGCATCCCTTGAAGCAATGCATTCTGGACCACAGACTCTCTATACAAGTAATCCTTCAATTGAACATTGTCGTTACAATCAATTGTTAAATTCTTCTTAAACTTATCGACCGAGTAGAAACCATTGCTCTTGGAAATGGCAGGAAGCAGCTCGAAGGTCTCGAAGGAGCCAGGTTCGACTCGAAGTATATCGTCGATTTTTATAATCCGCACCTCGTCCTCGGACTTTCTACTCTTTTCCTCGCAACTTCTCTTCCTGTTACTATTGTCCGCAGGAAGTAGCTCGTTTATGTAGTACTCTGCAGGAAGCTCGGTACCGGAAGTGGCAGGGAAGCGATTCTCACGGAATTCCTGAACAGTGAGCGTAGAGACGATCTTGGACAGACGTCCAACGACATTCTCCAAAACGTGATTCTCGTCGGCGTCGCTTCTTATGCGGACTTGAAGAGTACCGGCCTGGAAAATACAAGATACATTATCAATATATCTATATACACAAGCAATATCATCCTCGGAAGAATTTTCAGCACTTCCGAAAAGCCACTCGTGCTCGTCGAAACGTGGAACACTTATAGAGAGATATAAGACGAGTAAAAGGAATAAGATGAAGAAGTGCATGAAAATAGAAGCAAATGGAGGAAGTCGCGAAGTGACTTGGTATCGGCTCAGCGAAATTTTCACTGGTTCGCAGTAACTCGACGTCACTTCCGGTGCATCGAGCTGAAAATTTGTTCGCGAATATAAGATTATCTCGTATGATTTTCGCATGGAGCGAATAGAATTGCGAAAAGCAATTTCTTTTTTTTCTCCTTCCTCTTCTTTGCCCCTTCAACGTCATATATACACTTGACCTGATAAATTCGTAATGGGTGACTTCGAATGCTTTGATACTTGACCTACGTAGTAGCTACTTCCGGCACTTATATCAGTGCTACTTTCTGAATGTGCGTTATAACGTGGGTTCGGGCAGCAAGGAGGGTCATGAATTGGAATGGAATATATGCTGAGTTAAATGGTGAATTTCCTGGATCGTGAGAATCGCACGATTGCCTTTGATAATCGCTCTCCTGTTCCGATTAACGGATGATGTCCAGCAGCACGTGAAATTGTTTCGCAATTTCGCGAGTGCCGCTGCCAGGAGGAATGACTGAGTGATCGAATGCCTGAGCGAGACGAAATGAAATGCATACAATGAATGAACAGAGGAATTAACGTGTATACGTAAGAAGTAAGATGGATCCAATCGAATAAAGATATGCATGACGTCACAGACAATTACTTGTCCCAATATATACTCACTAGCTTGCCAAAGGATTTGGTCCAGAAACGCTCGTTCCTGAATTCGAGAACACCGTCTACATTGAGCGCCTCCCTCAGACACTTGTCAAGCTGCTCGCTCATGTGGTAAGGTAATTTCTAAAGGAAAAGTCAAGAAATTTTTCATTTTGGAAATAGGTGTAAGTGCAAGCAAAATATAAATATTAATAATGAAGAGACTCGTGATATATATTACCTGTAATATTACACTAGCCGTATAGAAAGCAAGTGGTAGCATAGACGTTACAGTCAGGCCAACTATAGTGAAGGCAGCGGCTGTATCAACAGCATAAAATCCCCTAAAAATATATAAAAAGTATTGGTATAACTCGAACTTCTATAAGTCAAAAACCACTATAAGACTATGAATCTTCGAATTTTCTAATGCTTCACCTCCATAACTCAAGAACCCTGAAGAATCGAAATTACGATAACTCGAAGCATATTTCGGTTCCCTTGAAATTCGTGTTATCGAAGTCTCACTGTAATTATAAGCCATACATACCAATTCTGTATAAGCACGTGGGCACCTTCTAAAATTGCAGCTCCTAACAAATTACCACCCAGTATAGGATTGTAACCCTTCAAAGTAGGGCAGGGCAGTGCTTTGCAAACTACATGTTCAAGCGCGGCATCCCTGTAGCCAAAGATCGTTCCCAAGTGAGCGACGAGACCGAGAATTGCACCGAGTCCAAGACGTCCCCTGAATAAAAAATAAAAAAAATTAAAAGTTACTATACACTTACACACATCTAATTTTCTATCATTATTCAAATAGTCAAGCAATTGGTGTTTGCAGATCTAAAATAATTCGCCGATTGTATACCGACTGATTTCCTAGATTCAGAATTAGTTTTATTAATCAAAAATTCTCTGTTCCTTTATATAACTGTAATTATAGCCAAACGTACGCGGCCGTGACTTTCTCGAGATAGCCATCGCGACAGACAATTATCTGCCATTATTGTCAGGCTAATTCAAATTTTTGTATGAGCCGTCAAAGTCTGCTAATCAGACGAGCTGATCGCGTACACGTGATCACCACATAGCAGAATACTGATAAAATGCGGTGCTTAGCGTCAACGAAATTGGATTAAACAGTATAATGAATCGAGGATTAATTAATCACAATAATATGATTTATATTGAGATTCATATCTACTGCATTATCTGTTTACCTGAATTATCTGTATATAGAAATGTGATCTAAATTAATTTTTGCATCCAATTAAAAAATCCATATTGAAGGACTAAGTAACCAGCAAAGAAATACGTAATAAAGATACGTCAAGTCCAATCTAACAATACGACATGCATTTTAAATTCCTCCATATACAGTGTGCAAAATTTAATTGCATAGAAGCACATGTGGACTAAAAAAGTACAAGGCAGCGCAGATAAGGTTTGCATTAATTTTTAATGAAAAATGAAAATAAACTAAAGATTTCCATTATTTAAATTCTCGATGCACAGTGCAAAACTTAATTGCAACCAACCCATATAGTACACGTGCGCTACGGTGCAATATAAATGTAATTTGTGAAAGTTATTAATTAAAAGCAGAAAGTTATAATAATATTTTCAAAGTAATATGTACGTATAATATCTACGTACGTAGTAATATCTACGTATGCAAAATTGTATGATTTATTGACCCATCGGTATATTATTGTTCTCCCATATCACAATTATATAAATATATTTGATAGCTCTACCCACTCGTTAACTACAATGCACTACAAAAACATGAAGTTACTCAGCCCATCAGAAAGCAGACTCGCTTCTAGTGTTTTACTCTTGTAAAAAAAAACAAGATCAATCTAGTGAGTACCAACCTAACGTAATCTAACGAGAATCCTCCCCAATATTCCAAGAGCAAACATCTGCGATTGCCTTTAAATCGTGTCAGCAATAAAGCCAAGCCAGCAATTCAGCCAACAAGTAAGCAAGCAACTAAGGGATCCGTGCACAGATACGAAGCCAAGGAAGCGAACCGATGACCTATGACCCGGCAATTAAACCTTATCTCCATCCACTCCCACATCTTTCCTTGGTAAGTACTACACGTATACATATACATCCTCAGCAAGGTTCCTGGCTATCAGTAAACTTCGCCACAACCACACCAGAGATTCTACGATCGTATAATTACATAGTCATGACCGAATCGGTAGTGCAGTGTGTTGCACTTGCACTTGCTCTGCACCGTATACCGATTATATACTACATTTTTCTAGAACTTCAGTGCTTTGCACTCGTGACCTCTGAACTCCAACGTGCACGCCGTGTTAACTTAGCAGACAGAAAATTCACTGTAGTAAGAGAAATATAAATATTTGAGTGCACTGTAAAGTCTTGAAAATATAGGCAATTAGGTACTTTGATAACTCCACTATATATATACACAGTGCATATATGCATATATACAGGCCGTTTCAGCAGGGTTTGACTAATCGAGGCTCTAAATTCCCAGGAGGCAGACATCCTGGCAGTCACAGCACGTTTATCCTTTCCACGAGAGACATGAGATACTCTTTGATGTGTCCGAACTGCATCTGGCTGAAATCCTAATATTTTTTTCTCTCTGTCTCTCTTAAATACACACAGAGTATCACATCATGAGAACATATGTATGGAATGGCAATTCTGTCCTACTGACAAGGAAACCCCCCCAACCCGACCCCACCGATTTCAATAATTTTTTGATATGTTGTAGTACTCGACAAAATAAGAGACACGTATTTTTTTTTTTGTGCTGACATCCACTTTAAAGGGGTGAAAACGACCCCTGAAATTCACCCCCGAAAATCGTTTTTTTATCATATCTCGACTTCTAATTAATATTTTTTAATAAAACCAAGTGAAAATATTTGTCATAAGAAGTCGAAGATATGAGGTGTGTTTATGAGCCAAGGGGTTGCAACCCTTATTTTATATTTTGAAACAACTATATTTTTTATGCTTTTTTTCTGCATAAAAACCGGGGTATGGGCTCAAAAAAATAAAGAAAAGCGTTTCCGTTAACTCCATCAAATATTTCAGTTGGGGTGTTTCAGGATTTTTCAAAGGGATAAAAACCACCCCTAAATTTTACCCCCGAAAATTGTTTTTTATCATATGTCAGATTCTAATTGATATTTTTTAATAAAACCAAGTGGAAAATATTTGTCATAAGAATTCGAAGATATGAGGTGTGTTTATGACCCAAGGGGTTGCAACCCTTATTTTATATTTTGAAACAACTATATTTTTTATGCTTTTTTTCTGCATAAAAACCGGGGTATGGGCTCAAAAAAATAAAGAAAAGCGTTTCCGTTAACTCCATCAAATATTTCAGTTGGGGTGTTTCAGGATTTTTCAAAGGGATAAAAACCACCCCTAAATTTTACCCCCGAAAATTGTTTTTTATCATATGTCAGATTCTAATTGATATTTTTTAATAAAACCAAGTGGAAAATATTTGTCATAAGAATTCGAAGATATGAGGTGTGTTTATGACCCAAGGGGTTGCAACCCTTATTTTATATTTTGAAAAAACTATATTTTTTATGCTTCTTTCTGCATGAAAACCGGGGTATGGGCTCAAAAAAGTAAAGAATTGGGTCATAAACACACCTCATATCTTCGACTTCTTATGACAAATATTTTCCACTTGGTTTTATTAAAAAATATTAATTAGAAGTCGAGATATGATAAAAAAACGATTTTCGGGGGTGAATTTCAGGGGTCGTTTTCACCCCTTTAAAGTGGATGTCAGCACAAAAAAAAAAATACGTGTCTCTTATTTTGTCGAGTACTACAACATATCAAAAAATTATTGATATCGGTGGGGTCGGGTTGGGAGGGTTTCCTTGTGAGTGGACTAGTGCAATTTCACGATTAAACGTATGTCCATCCAACGCAAGTGGACATACCGTATGAATGCCAAGTAATGAAACATTATACAGGGTGTTTCAATATACCAGGAATTTAATATCTTTTAGAAAGGCAAATGTATTCCTTATGAGACTAATTAACGGTGCATATACATACACATATCGCATGTATGAATTTCAATAGTAATTAAATGGAAACTCACGTATGGATCACTGGCTGATTCGTGATCCTCGTTACAGCTTCCATGGAGATTAGGGACGCTGACATCAGCGCCATACAGGATGTTACGAGGAGTGCGAGAATCTCATACTTCTCAAGGCCTAAAATCGTCAGGGATGAATTCTTAGCGTCATCGTGACAATCCTTAGCAGTTTCCCGATGATTCACTGTGAGGTCGCATGTTCCAGATATCGAATGCCTGGGATAATGTGTTGCGAAACTTCCTCTGTATTCCGGATATCCGGATGCGGATCGTGACCGGTTGTGACTGTAGACGGTATTTTGTTTTAATTTGAAGGATGAAATCAAAGGCTGTATTTTATTTCCACTTGATGTATTCTGTTCGACCCATACGGATATAAGGCAGACACCCAACGCGAAGATATTAAAATAAACTGTATTCTGGTATGCTTTTAATGCTGAAACAAAAATTAAAAGAAACGATGACACTTGCCACACTCAATGAAATTATTGAATTTCTACAGAAACTGGATAAGTGCTAATTTCCCTTGAAACTTGTTCACCTTGGTTATAGCGATCGCGTTAAATGTAACGATTTTAATAGCACACACGTATCATTGATAAGCGACAACGAGTATCTATTATAAGGTTAATGGTTCACTGTATAGAAGGCATGTTGTTGTGCCGAATTTATAATCGACACAAGTTTTTCATCCGCTGAGTTCCGAATGAATTATATCTCCGAGAAGTTAGGTTAGGTTTTCAAGATATCAAACCGTTAATCATCCGAAGATTTCAGACGCGCACAAATCATCGACATTCGCCAGAGGAAGTCAAGCACACGTTATTAGCAATGGGAGGAACGGGGCTGTACCCACTCGCGAGCTCATTACACGAAAAACTTTAGCACTCGGCGAGTCGCGGCGTGGCCGATGCTCCACACTGCGGAACGACGAGAAAAACAGTTGAAAAAAGAAGGTTCCTACCGTGAAAACTTTCTACGAGCGAGCGCAAAGCTCCTGATGCATAAACTTTTGCAATTTTAATCGCAGCATTTTAGAGGGAGAAAGAGATGTCTAAGGAGAGTCTGAGAGTGAGACTGAGAGTGAGAGTCAAATAGAGAAAGGTAATGAAAAAGAGAAGGAAGGAGATTCCTCTTCATGAGATTAGGAACCTTCTCTTAATTTCCGCATTGCGACCCAGGATCGAGAGACACGCTTGAATTATATCCTACGAATTTTTACCGACATCAAAGAAACTTTGTATAAATTTTATGTACCAACTTCCGGTTTCGTGTGAAGAATTCAAAATTATCGTGGCGCGCTAAGTATAGAGTTATCCAGTAGAAATGCACCACCTGAATATGATTCCACCATAGAAATCAAATAGACGGGCTATCTTCAGGTGGTGCGTTTCCACTGAATACGTGGTACCTGCCATAACCGCTTACGAACTACTTACAGCGTAAGAGGCGTAGTGGGAAATCTATAAAGTTTTCTATAGTCAATGACTATCGGTCGGTACGGTGGGAATTTGAAAATGGCCTGTTTTTCTGTATTACATGAAAACTAACCTAGACTATTGGTCGTAGCGATCCAGATGCCAAGATAGTAGATGATCAAGGAGTTATATCCGATCAAGAAAAGTATGTTCTTGCTGTCTTTCTCAAGAAGGATCTTCAAAATATGTTCCCACTTGGTAACGTTGTTTTCTTCCTTTGCACCTTCTGTTAAATAAAATAGTAGATTAATAATTTATCGTGTAGTACAACTATATTGCAGTCAAGCCAAAATATCAGTGGATCATGCAGGAGACTCCTTCATACGTGAGTGCAAATGAGAAAAGCCTCTCCAAATGAAACTGACCTTATGGCCTGATTGTAACACTAAGAAATTACATAATTCATAGTTCGTGTGATAATGATTGATAGACGTAAATCAAACTTTTTACTTTAATTGAGGTTATAACGCATGTATTTAATAATGATGACCTTATGGAATTATAAATATTTGGAAATATTAACTTTATCTATATCAAACACACCTGTTCGAAATATATAACACTTCCGATAATCCGATCTTATCATTTATCGATATTAATATTATCTCGTATCGAATGTCCATTAATTTTCTAATTAAGTTGCTGGACTTTAGGCGGGATATATGGGGATATGTCGATTAAGACAAAGGATAAATAGCCAAACAATAACTTAAACAAGTATTTTGCTATCAGAATACTGACTGATGGGTAATAATTTAAAAATATGAACAAACTCTTTTACGTATTATGTAAATTTGACAATCATCATTTCAATTTGACAAGATGCGAGGAATTTGGATTTTTTTTCTTTTACACAAAAATTCTTTCTCATAAAATACAAAGTCATTCTAAGGCGATTTCGACTACCACAGAAACATATTGTATACACCCCTCTATGTGATATATCTATGTCTGAATAAAAGCAACGAGCATTCAATTAAATTCATCCGGCTACAAAAATCCCCATGGACTTCATTTTTGCAACGTCACTTTTATGCGAACTGTAATAAATGCAGGTATTATCAATTCCCATTGAACGACTTAAGTCTACGTAAATGCTTGGTAAGTAAAAGTAATCAAGGGCGATATCAGAAAATGCCAAATACACTATAGCACGATAAAATGGATAATTGTTTTTCTCTGCAATACTCAGTCCGTTTTTTTCTATTATCTCCTAAAAATGTTACAAACCGAACAATTTTTTATTATTCTATGAACCATTTGTTGTGACATTGTGATAACCCTTATCAAGTAATATTCATAACTGCGTAAGCGACGATACAATTCCTCAAACTCACTTAGAGCCATAATAAAATTTAAGTACAATTTTTTTGTTGAATGAAATAAAAAGTAAATTAAAATAGTTACTCAAAAATAACAGTGAAATAATGACAACGAAGAATTACAACAAAAATAATTGACATAATTAGAATGAATGGCATACATTGGACAAAGTAAATTTTTTTTATTTCCTTTAATGATTGTGACACAAAAAATGACTCCTTAAATCCCCAAAAATAACTCACCCTCCGCCTCAAATTCGTTAACCGCAACTGTTACATTTTGCGGTTGGTGTTTTAGCATCTTCGCAACACTTCAAAAAATTCGGAACATCCTTGCTCCAAGAATTTTATTCATTGAATAAATGCAAAAATTGGTCGGTACAAATGATGTGCACGTTCTTGATGTATTTCACAATATTCTTACGAGATTCGTTTGCGTATACTATATTAATTTACGGATAGAAAGACATTTTATAACGTCAAAACCAGAACAATTTCCCCTATTATAAACCATTTGCCGGCGTACGACTGGACTCGACTGATAACGGACAGCGAAGTGCACGGCACGAAACTCGCCTGGCTGATAAAAATCTTCTATTACTGATAAAAAGACTGTTTCCTTCGTTTTCTTTTTCCGTTTCTTATCTCCCATTCCTTGAATTATCCTATTCCGAACGTCTTCTGTCCATTTTAATGTTATTTTAATTATAGTACTGATAACTTATGGAAATAAATGTATGACAATATTAACATTAATGATGAATTATTGTAGCCAAAATTAAAGTGTACCTTCTTTATATGAATTCAACAAATAATACTTTCTTCGAAATAACGAAAGTCAGTTTCAAGAAAATTTGATAATCCTTTCAGGATGCTCTTAATAAATAATATGCTTCTTTTTAATGAGAATAATTTAACAATGAAATACTTGATAGCTTAGTTTTTACTAAATGTAAAATTATATAAATAAGTATATAATTAGAAGAAAACAAAATTTATTTATAAATGAATACTTACTAGATGGTTTATTCCCATTGACGCGAACCTCCGTTCCGTTTATAAAACACCACCTTCCCATAAGGTACTTTTCAATCTCTAAGGACCTGTAATGAGAGAGAGAGAGTGCACACAGTCCATTCATTTATTCCTCACACAGAACGAATACTTACTATGGAAATAGATTTCTTGTCAAACATTCTTAATGGATCAAAGTCTAAGGTTAAGACTTTGAACGAAGTAAAACGAGATTGCTTATGATTAACTTTTTTGTTCGTTTAGTTGTCATTGATTGTTTGTGACTATAATCTTTCGCCTTTTACTTTCCTTGTGGCTTTATCCACAATGGGATATGCGCTAGAGTTTGAATCTATGGTGTCATGGCTTGTCATCGGAACAATGAAAAAATTTGATGTCGATAAAATTTCTTATAGAGAACAGATTGAAATTTGAACTGCTTTAGTGAATAAAGATGGATGCACCATCTAGAGGTAAGTTCTAGAACTATCTTGAAAATGAATGCATGAGATGGTGAATCTGTAAATAAAAAGATAACATTTAAACAAGGCTTTGACACTGACTAGTATTAACACTACATTATAATGCTCTATTATTTATAAACTGAGAAATGCTTCGGAATTACTGTTATAAAGTAATAAACCATAATTATTTGCAAATGCTATCAGATGCTGGTATCCTGATAATGAAGAATTTTACCATGAGAGATTGACAAATGCCGACTGTTGATGTTTCAATAAAACGTTTAAGCAATAATATTAAGGTTTTATTGTACTTATTGCACTGTACTTGTCGAAAATTGTTTCTATTTTGTACAATCTTATGCAATATAGCAATAAATTTTCACTCAAGTACTACAGCATATATTGTATTTTGTAGATGTAATAAAAATATAGAAAACAATATATTCTCTTATCACTATGAGACACGATTGCATTACTTATAGTAATAATATCAAGTTCAATGTATAGTCTCATTCTTTACCTGCGTTTCCTTTCTTTGCATTAACATGTACCTATATGGATTGGCTATGTGCGCTATACAAATCCCTAAAAAATAACCTTAAAACTATGTGTCTTATTTAGGATTTTAGTGTAATTAAAAATGACGGCACACGTTATGTGTCTCACCTCGTCTGGAGGAATACCTATTTTTGCACGCAAAAAGGGCGAAGGTGATATGGTAAAATCTCTTATTATCACACTGTCATATAAATTGGTAATACTATATAAAATTATCAAAATAATGAATGCTTCAGATGACTTTTTCAAAAATGGCATCATTGAATGGAGTTCATATGTTTCTCAAGTCACAAAATATGGAACTGCTAAATACAAATATGCCTGATACTACAGTCGTATGGAAAGAGTATGAAGAATGTATTACACTTATTGCAATTGCCAGTGGAACAACAAAGCGTGTTCTTAATCAATTTCTTGATGCAGTATTCAGTGCAATGATTTTGGTCGTTGGTATAGATGATATTAAAAATCCCAGGAATGTGGAAAGACTTAAAAGAGATCTGCGGATTTGTAATCCCATTATAGACAGATTGTTAGAGTGTTTGGATGTTGGAGATCGAATTTCTACAAAGACTGACTTAGTTGATTTGACGGAGAGTATTATGTGCCCTGAAAATCATTTGTTGCAGGTGAACTTAATATCCAATATTCATAATTGTCAAAAAATGTTATATAACAATAGATATTAATTATCTTAATTTCAGGCTTGCTTAGAAGCTTATGTGGAATGCTTGGATTCAATGTATGGTTGCATTTTAATTCATGGTAGCTTATCAGTTGCAACTGAAAGTTGGTGGTGTCTTGATCCTGTAGAAAGGAAACTCTTAACAATAGCAGCTACAACCGAGGACAGCTGTACTGCTAGAGACCTTCCAGTATTTTTACCAAACAAGAGCCCGAATGTAATCATTTTCTCTTAGTTTAATACATACTTTACAATTCATTCAATACTTCAATTTAAAAAATCTAGGTAGCCTTCAGACTTGTATCTGTAACTCTGGTGAATCACATTGAAGTATTGTCTTTATGTGGACCAACTCCAGAATTATCAGAAGTTGAAAGACTAGCTATTCAATGCTGGAGAAGTAGTATAGACATATTACGAGCTGCTGAACAGTCTTACACAAAAAATTTTCCTTTCAATATATCACTGGACTCTGGCATATTGGGGTAATATATTTTTCACATACTTAAAAATCATAGCAATACAAAAACAATTACCTTACAGATTCCTGCTCGTGAATTACAGAATTGGCAAGTTCGTACTGAGTAGAAATCCCCAAAACACAAAAAACCGCGTCACGGGAACTCATCGCCTGGATATTTTAAGAACTTTCTATCATCAAGCTGTAGAGACATTCCTCCTTTCTGAAGACATTGAAGAATGTCAGACAGATAGTACAGAAACTCCAAAGAGACTAAATCAACAAGAAAATGGGCAAAAATTTGAGGGGGCTAAAGAAACATATTGGTGCTCAGAATATCACAAGTGTCATGCTGTCAAAGAGGGGGATCAAGTTTTTTGTGTTTTATATTCAGCAACAGTCCCTACACATACCATGAGACTGATCACTCATAAAACATTAAAAACGCTCTTAGCCGATAAACAACTTTGTTGGTAAATAATATAAAATACATAGCACAAGAGACTATAATAAAAACTTGCGAAATTCAACACAGATGATGTGACCATGTAAAAATGGATGCAACTTACAATGAATATTTTATGCGATATTTTTTATACTGTATTTCAAATGTTTCAAGATTTTATTAAATCTTAAATATATTGCTCATCGATGTAGCTGCTTCCTACTCCTTTCCTATTAGTTATCTAAACTGGACATCTATTATGTCATATATTATATACCCTTAAATGTCTATTATAAAAATTAAACATTTTTAATTTTAACTTAAAAAAATTAATTTTCCGACCTTATCTAATGGCAAACCATTTTTTAAAATAGATATTACAAGTTCATCAAATCACAACATTACAATGATGATACAAAAAAAATACGTAGATATTTAAACGTAGCGCCAAGTATGATTAATCCGAAATGACGGTCTCATATGATCAACAAAAAACTCCTTTAAAAGATAAGCGTTAATAAATTGTTATCACAGATAAAGTAACAGTATTACAGTACTTTTGGGGCGATACTCAGTAATCAGTACCTAAGTTTGTACAGAATGATTCTCATGTACATAAGTTCAGTGACTAAACGAGACAAGAAAAATCTAATAATCTAAAAAAGAGTTCATATTCGTCTAAACAAAACGTTTGTATCTGTATGTAAGTTAACAGTGGTTGATAAGAAAATATGGAATCCATAACACCATCGGAGTTACAAATTGTAGAAAATGTGGTAAAACCATACAATACGGTTGAATTATATGTGGGTCTGGGGTTGGCAATCAGCTCTAGTGGATTTATAGGTTAGTAAAGTAGTAAAACAGTCAAACTGTGTAAAGCAGACGGATATTGCACGTAGTAGCATCCCATATGATTTTAAATGTGGCTAACATCCAATCAGAACAAATGTCCTAATTAAAATAACCAATGGTGTTCAACCTCTGTATTCTCACTTATTTGAAAAATATTTTCACGCGCGTTTCGCGTGTAACTGAATTGTTCAGTTGTGGAATGCATGTTTACTATGTTTTTATGGACGGTAGTTTTTTCATTCTTATCATTCGATAATGGACACCGTGTGACGTATTTACTATGCAGTTTACTATAATAATTTTGTTACATGCAGATAGACTGTTACGTTTAATAGTTTTTTTTTAGGTGCTAGTTTTATAATTAAAAAAAAAGCATTGATAAGACTTCAAAAGTTCGGAGGACTGAGAGCTGGGTCTGGTGGTTTTGGATACCTTAAAGAATGGATATGGTGGGCAGGTCTTTTGTCTAGTACGTATGAGAAAAAATTTTTTTATATATCTACCATAGGTGATGCACAGATTCTTTAATATTATCTTAGCGAATTTGGTTTTGCCAAAAAAATCAAAGCATACTGGTCAGTTAGTGAACATTTTTTACTGAAAAATTACCACAATTATTCTGAAAGAACCTAGGGGGCTTGACTTTGAATAATTTTTTTACAGGAAATGTTACTTACCAATAGAGTATACATACTTATGAAATTCTGAAAATGAGCTTTTAGATTGTATCATTTTCGCAGGCTATTGTTTTATTGTTAGTATAACTTTCAACAAATGCTCAAGATACTTTACAAAGTTTTGGTAACAAAAACTCACTCAAGCACCAGTGGTTTTTGGTTACTTTTAAGTTAAACACAGATAAGGGATACAAAGTTGTTATTTCAGATGTAATTATGCTTTTAATAACTATGACTAAGTAATTCTTTATGTTATTTTAGTGGGAATAGGAGAAGCTGCAAATTTTGCAGCATATGCATTTGCACCTGCATCTTTGGTTACTCCATTAGGAGCACTCAGTGTTTTAGTAGCAGCAATGTTAGCTTCATATTACTTAGATGAAAAGCTGAATTTGTTGGGAAAAGTATGTCTTATACATATATTTATAAAAATAATTAATAACTCATATTCCAATAAATCCTGACAGATAATAACATTTATATTACAGATTGGTTGTGTTCTATGTATCCTGGGATCAACAATGATAGTCCTTCATTCCCCTAAAGAGGAGGAAATTGAGAGTCTGGATGTATTACTAGCAAAACTAAGGGACCCAGGCGTTATTATTTATATTTTAATCATAATAATTATTGCAGTATTAATCATTTTTGAGTATGGTCCTGTCTATGGAAGACACCATGTAGTAGTATATATACTGTTGTGCTCATCCATAGGCTCCTTAACGGTAATGAGTTGTAAAGGTCTTGGGTTAGCCTTAAAAGAGACCATACATGGTACCAATGAATTGGGAAATTGGCTGACATGGATATTCCTCTTCACAGTTATCCTATGCATTACTATTCAAATGAACTATTTGAACAAGTCATTAGACTTATTTAATACTGGCATAGTCACTCCAGTCTATTACGTTTTCTTCACAACGTTTGTGATAGTGGCCTCAGCAATTCTCTTTCGTGAATGGGAGCACATGAAACCTGATGATATATTGGGATCACTTTGTGGATTTTTCACTGTCATTATTGCTATTTTCATGCTTAATGCCTTTAAGGATATGGATATCAAATACAGTGACATTCAGGGTATGCTCAGACCAAAACGAGATCTTGTCACAAACTACAATCCTACATGGAACTCCCAAGACGAGGAAGGTTTAATGACTAGATCGGAAACTGAACAAGAACACAATTATGGAAGTCCTGGTATTACTAGAAGTATGTGACAACGGCGCGAATAACGGTATCATCTGGCATGTAAAATAACCCCAAATCATGTTCAAACTGAATTGTAGGCAGACAAGTAGAGGCTGGGACATGGAAACATCTTAAAATCTCGTTTAAAAATCAAACTTTCTTTAAAGTATATTGTTTCCGTTCATTGTCTTTCAGGTTTTAAGCAGTGAGCCCAGTCAAAGATGCAATATAAAATAATAAGGGTTAGAGATATAATATTAGTAACTAAGTATCGAGACACAATCTATGTTCCAGTAGGAAGGTGTCTTTTAATTTAAAATTACACTTAAAATTTATAATAATATCATGTAATAATATCTTCTCATGACTAGACGTGCAAAGAGGCTTAATTGCTATATTAAACTTAAGTTTACAAAGGAATATATAGAAGATAGAAGAGCAGACATGAATATTTTCATGAGCAATATACATACACTATTTTTTACTAAGTTTCTCGTATGTTATAATGAGAAATAACTTATGATTCCACAAAAAAGACATTTAGGTATAATTGTAATATTTTATTTAATCAAAAGAACAAAGCTTGTAACGCAAAAAGTAGACGAGAATTATCATACTTTATAGATATATTGAACCGTATTATAGACAAAGTTTTTGTAAAAGGTCTATTATACAATACATGGAACTTCTGATAAACATGTGGAGAGATTATTCTGTTGATTTATGATATAATTTGAAGTGAAATATAATTTGAACAGCTTGAAAAGTAGAGGCAGTGACGTTTTTAAAATGGAAATCAGTACCTCGCTTGCGCCCATTAGAACAGTACATTCAAAATGGCGTTTAATATGTCCGCTTTTTCTTATATCATAGCGTTAATTATTGACGCCTTTTTAATATTCTTTTCCATATTTCACGTGAGTATCATAATATATTTAAATGTTGTAGAAACACATGAAAATAATCATGCCCATGCAATAACTATTATTTACAAATATAACTTTCATAACCTCACATAGCGTGACTTCGATTTTTTACAAGTTTCCTTGAATCTTTAAAATATAAAATAACATTGAGCGCATTATCACTATGATGATTATTATATTTCGGATACGTTATATCTAATACATACAACATAATTGTTTTTTTTTCAGATAATCGCATTTGACGAACTCAGGACAGAATGGAAAAATCCCATTGATCAATGCAATAGTTTAAACCCTGTAAGATTTATAACAATCTATAAATTGTTGTGACATACCTGTTAGAATATTTTGCATATTACGATCATAAGTTCTTCTTATTTACTTATTCATAAAATTTCAGCTTGTTCTCCCAGAGTATGGCCTGCACATTTTGTCAAATCTGCTATTCTTGATAAGTGGAGAATGGCTTTCACTATTTTTAAATATTCCATTAATTGCGTACCACATAAATAGGTACCTTAATAGGCCCGTCATGACTGGTCCAGGATTATATGATCCTACAAGTATTATGAATGCAAATGATTTAACAAGATGTCAAAGGGAAGGATGGATTAAAATGGCTTTTTATCTCATCTCATTTTTCTACTACCTCTATGGGTATGTTCACCTCTACTTAATCACTGTAGCTATTGTTCAATATTTTATTTGTAAAACCCTAATTTTATATATAAGAGTATCTTATAAAGATTGTCCCTTTTATTTTTAGAATGATCAGTTCTCTCATTCACTGAGACTACAATGTCCTAAAAACTTACTAAAGATCTTCGCAAGCTGCATCCAGTCTGGGATTATGTCAAGGTGGATTCATACATTTGCACCATTGGTGTACTGTACCGTATGAAAAAATAGTCTGACAAAAAGGTTTAAGTCAAGAATAAATTATAGTTCTAACAATCCAACAGAAATATCTAAGGAAGTTTTACTTCTTTAGAAAGACCATGTAACAAATGGGAAGTTAATTGTATCCAAGTATTTATTAGGTAACTCCATCGTATCGATGTATTACTAATGTTATTTTAGTTTCTGAATGTCCAAGAATACTTCATTGAGTTGACCTTGTTGTGTACGACATGCGAGTACGAGGAACTTCGAACAAATTTTTTTCTACGTTTATTTGAACTGAACGGACGTACTTTTTAATGAGGTGTTAGCAAAAATCCAATGCCATGCCGACTGTACGTTTTATATTTTCATATAATAAACGAGATTGCAGTTGGAAAAAGGATATATACATAAGTATCAATCACTTTTTTATTCTTCCTCCCAGTGGTGTACTTCAAACATGATTGAAATGTTGTATTGTCTCCCACTATGTTGACTAGTTCTTTGGATAGTTGTAAATGACAATATATAAATTGAATAAATATATCTATTACGATAACTATTTTCTTTGTGTTGACGGATTTTGTAATCTTTTTTGTAAAACTTGTATAAAAAAGTTAGCTAGCTGGTACTTTAAATAGCCCTTAAGGACATATGAAAATTAAAGAACTTGATCCAATATTATAATTTGGAAATTGTTGGATGTTTTGAAGCATGATTATAATGCATTATTCTTAATACTTGCAGTGTAAACTTTGTTCAAAACGACTCCTATGGTTATCTTATACAATACTGATCGTAGATATAATCGATGGTTCCCACAATCATGAATATTACGTTTATAAATTCCCCATACTGTTCAAAAAAGCCCACCTTACATTTTGTACATAAATCATAAAAATGCATAGAAAGATGACAAATTAGGTCCGCCATATAACTCAAGTTACTTTCTACCTGCTGAGATTTTCTTTAAGCCAATCTTCTGTAAGCTCTTCCAGCTCACGGACCTCATAAACCCTTGTAAGCTCAGCTTCCTTCTGCAGTATTAATTTCATACTAGCATATAGCACTTGTAATTCCATCTGAATATCTCTGGGTGTGTAGAAAATGAAACACATTGGGTACGATATTCTACCATCTTGATGTTTCATTCGGTAGCTGTACACAATATACCGTGGTTGATGCGCTGGTATGCAGTCTTGCAGTTGATCAATTTCAATGTCCTATGCAAACAGTAAATATATATTAGCTTATAAATATACATAATCATCACAATATATCAGTAATATTGTTACAGCCTACCTCTATCTGTTCATCAATGCAAATTCTCTGTTTTTCTTTATTGACCTTGACTGTAAAATTAATCATGTGAATAATGCGATAATCAGGAAGATGTCTATACGTCACATTGAGGTAATAAATGACTCACGTATCAATGCTGCATTCTTTTGACTCTTGCGAAAACGAAAAGCCTTTAACGCATCCTTAACATCATCACCAATATCACAAATTTTCACAGATGTCTGAAGAAACAAAGAAAAATGCCTCCATTATACTATTGAGAGCATAACTAGTTGACAGACTTGAAAGATTCATTTGACCTTTGAATGGACCGTCTGCTCGTAACAGGAAATGTTTTTATACGGGGCATTGCTCTCGGATAGTCCTAAAGAATGCAGGTCTTTTTACACCCAAAAATACAACTTGCTCCAATTGCAGAAAACATTTGTGGTTGCAGACAAAACACAACCTGACAATCGATAGATTAAATACATCAAAAATAACTGTGCAATTCATTTTATTTTAAATTACTGAAGAAATACTGTAACAGTTGTTGCGTGCAATGGGGCAGAACGCGTCGTTGTCAGTAAAATTGTTTAATATTTCGTAAAAATAATGTAAATTCATCAAGATTTAATATAGTCTGAATTATACGTACCATATTGGACCGTAATGAGGATACGTTAATGAATGTCCGGTGGTCAGTAGAGAGATGAGTGTCTGTCAAGCAATGAACAGGAATGACAAATGTATAGGTATTGTCAACGATGAGTAAAGGTCTCGGCTAGCAGAACGCTCTGAAGTTCGGCGCTGATAAAACTTTCCAATGATATCAAATGCTTGTTAAACACCACTGTTGGATCACAGAATAGAAATATTCTTGTTAAAATATACGAATTTTTAACACAAACAGTTGACTACGACAAAGTAATTTTGAATAAAATAAAGTTTCTGAGGAGCGGAGTGAATATTGTTGCATATGCCCATTACATACGTTTGGCCTTAATATGCTTAGCATTAAATTTGAATAAGCAGGAGCGTATGGAGGGTCATTTATAATAAATTTTTCGAATAATATCTTGTACATATAAGATATCCATCACGACTTTCAATATCTAAGAATTCAGATTTCTTATTTTGAGACTTATAAGAGTTTCGAGTAATTCAATTTTATCTTTACTATATGTTATACAGGGTGGGCTTTGATCTTATTGTTGCCTAAATATTGTTTAAATTATACGGTCCTATGACGATGCATTATGCAAAAGATTGGTTTCGTCCAATCGACCAAGAGCATTAACGAGACAGTTTAGTACAAATTTAATTAGGTATGCTCGTGCAAGCACAAACGTGCTCCGAAGCATTATAGATGTGCTTGAGAATGAGGAGAGAACGCTTCCTTCCTTCCTTTCTTTCCTTATGGCTGCCTCCTCCAATTAGGAGATGTGCTAGTAACTGGTTTGTAAATGAGAGAACGTTGAGAGCATGTTGTGTCTTGATCGTCTCGATCATACATATGCAATAAACAGAGAAGCAATGATGTACTCTCCGCTCTCGACTCATTTTCGAACACACCCTATTGTGCTCCGGAGCCACTCAATTCTAACCATACTGGAAGCTGTACGCCAATGGTGGAGGCCGTGCACAGAGAGATATCAAGGATACAAATGAATGTAGCAGCCTGTCTCTATTACAATTTGTACAGTCTCTGAAAAAGTTTAAGTTGGGATAAAGCAGTGCGTACGGATAGGACCACGGTCTTACATACAGGTCTGGCCACTTAGGCGAAAAACGCGTAAGGATAAGGTGGCCACTGCCGCAAGAGGCGATAGTGTTTGAAAGAGCCTAGCACCTGCTAGCTACGCTATGTCAGCCTATGATGTCAGCAGGTCAACAGGCCTTTTCGACACTAGCGCTTGCAGGCAAAACCGGCCAACTTAGCGGTTACAAGCTATAATGTGGTGAGGATAGGGAAGTGTCCAGACTTGTATACAAGACCGTGGACAGGATTAAGCCAATATAACAACAAGAAATAGTGGCACATATATTTTATTACGAAGATCGCTAAATATTTTTTTGTCATTTTTATAAGGCTCTATATTTATATCATGAAACGGAGATAGGATTTATATGTACTGGCATTTTAATACTCCTTTCATCGCACCACTGCTGACACTGATATGTTGGCGGGACAACATTATTGCAGGGTTTGTACACCGCATGCGCAGTTTAATTCGAAAAGGACAACCTCATCTACGATGTGAGTGAGACAGCTGCGCGTTCGCCGGGTCATCTCCGAATACAGGCGTAGGCATTCAGTATGGTTAGAGTTCAGTGTCCGGAGCACATAAAAACGAGTGCACGAACAGACCTATTGTGAGATAAAAAGGCTGTTGGAGGATTTAAGGTAGGGTAGTTACAGAGGGCACTGCCGTCGTCCTGATTTGTCACAACTATTACTTCTTATCATCTCTCCTTTATAATTCTTAGTGTTATTAGAGAATAATTTGTGAAATAAATGTGTTTCAATAGAATTTTGTCACACTGTGTTGAAAGACTGACTGTAGAGCCAAGCAGCGTCACGTAACAGTGAAGCAGAAGAGTTGGAAATACAAGGAATATTAGAAAACGCTGTGTATCGACATCGGTTAGAAATGACAGTTATGGACTTTTTTGGCTGCGCCTTTTTGGCTTTCGGTCCACCACTTGCTATGTTCACTTTCACTGTAGCTGTGGAACCTATAAGGATTATAATTTTAATAGCCAGTGCCTTTTTCTGGCTAATCTCGCTACTCATTTCCTCAGCACTTTGGTATGCTGTTGTACCACTTCAAGACCACCTGGCTTTTGGTCTAGTCTTCTCAGTACTTTTTCAAGAAGCCTTTAGGTAAATTTTTATCCTTTAAACACTATATTTTTAAAAACTGCATGTATATGTCTTATGATTAAATATATCTAATTTTGTACTTCAGATATCTATTGTACTGGGTGCTACGGAAAGCAGAGCGTGGATTGGAGAGAGTAACGACTGCACATGTTGCTGACAGTAGACATGTCTTTGCATATGTCTGTGGTCTTGGCTTCGGGTTTATGAGTGGTGCCTTCGCACTGGTCAATGTGCTGGCTGATGCTGTAGGACCTGGGACAATGGGTCTTCGTCAAGGCTCAGAATATTTTTTTATAATATCTGCTGCCACCACACTCTGCTTCATTTTTCTCCATACCTTCTGGGGTATTATTTTCTTCTCTGCGTTCGATCACAAGAAATGGGGTCTAGTCACCTGGGTTATTGGTTCACATCTTTTTGCCTCCTGTATGACACTGCTCAACCGATATGAGACTTATGCAGCTAGTCTGATCTCTGTATACACTGTTCTTGTTATAACAGCTGTTCTCGCATTTAGAGTAGCTGGTGGAAGGGTTTGTAATATAACACAGTGCTTCATAAGAAAATGAAAATCGATATGAGCGTTTAGTACAACTACAAAACGAGACGCTTAATGCCTTTCAGGGCATTGAATCGCATCAAATGGATATTAAAAAGGATATCGCCTCAAAAAGAGAATTGCGTTTGAGATGTCATTCTTACGCTATGTTTTTTCTAATTAGAATAATAAGACACGACACTATTTATTATTTCGCACGCAGCCGACTTTCATTCGATTGGCGAACCGAGAGTGAAAAGCGTTCACATTCCTACTCGATGTTATACCGACTCTTAATCTAACGATCTGGAGAGCTCTTGAATCGTTGTGACATCGAGCTAGGGTCGAAAATCATTCCGCTTCCTTTTATAGAAGTGGATACACTGCTCAAGACGTATACATATTGATTATGAAAATGGGCAAAATGAATATCGCGAAAATTATGATGATCAACTTAAATTATTACTCTATTTTCGATGACAAATAAATATACGGGACACAACGAAACAAAAGACTAATGGCTAGGCTTTTAGAATGAACTTTCCCTAAAGGTGCTTTGTCGATGTTCTCATTAACAATGTGCTTTATCGTCGATTGGAAACGCCTTTTTATAATGATAAGGATCATGATATTCCATCCAAATTTATCGTCTTCGCCAATATGTGAGAACCTCTTGTAACGTATGAGCTAGAGATTTAACATTAGCAATTATATTTTATACATTTTGATTATTGCTAAACTTAAGAGGACGCCAAAGACAATTGTCTGTTTTACCACTCACCAAATTCGCAAATTCTTCAGCTTTATCAATTCTAATACGCATTTATGTGCATAATACTTTGCTATCTTTCAATATGAAGTTCTAACCAGCTAAATTCTAAAGTTATGATACTTGCCCTTTTTGCGGCATCTTTTTCTGCTTCAGTTTTAATCTTTTGGCTACCTTTGTCGAGCCATTAGTCAGTCCCTTTAAATAAAAGCAGGTATACGGCCGAATTAAATTTTTAAATAAACGTAATGGTGACTTGTTAAGAAAAGCAATTCAATTGATAGCATCGTGGTACAATATTAAATGAACTCTGATAGAAAATAATACATATATATGTGTATATGTTTATACAAACATATATGTGTACATGTGGTGTTGCCTCACTTCACTCATTCCTACATGTTATATGGTAATAACATTAATAACAATCATAACACACCTTACTATTATTGTTACCTTCATTTAAATAACACAAAAAAAAGGAAATATCAAAATGACTTGTCGGAGTGGATTTTCAAAACCACAAGGAATTGTTGATTACTTTTTGTATCGAAAGAATAACCTGTTAATGAATGTAGTTTAGATGAATATAAAATGTCATGTATATTTTACATCTTCTTTTTGTAATCGACTTTCCATCTAATTCGTATTACATTTTATGTCATTCAATGAAAATCCTTTTTGTAATAAAAGAAATGAGATGAAAAATGAAGGAAAATGCAACACGAGCGTTTATCTCTATAGAAGTTCTCTGTCACTCGTCTAGGATACATTTAATTATAAGAGAAAGAATGAGATTATTTATTTTTCACTTCTTTTATTATGAAAACAATAAACAACCTATAATACAGACACCGTTACGCAATATTGCTTCTAAGCAGTAGAAGTATTGTACGAGTATTCAATTTCAACGTAATATCTTATTCGTACAAAACGTCTACAAGCTTTATATTTATTCGAGATTAGAGCGAAACCAAATTCGATACTCGAATTACGATTAAGCTTAAAAATTCGAATGTAGAAGCGTATAGACCAAGGAAGTTTTTTTGCCGATTTAGCGGTACCAATAAGTCCTTTCATCCTCGATGATTTTCCAGATAAAAAGAAAAAATATATCGACACGAAGAGATATTGTATCGTAGGAAGATATGAATATTCCAGAAGAAAAAGACGAAGGTTCTGATTACTTGATCTTTACCCTGTTTCACGGTTTTACCAAGATCTGTTCAGCCAAATGACAGTGTCTTACAAAAGTCTATGAGCTGGTAAGGGAAGCCATGAGCAATTCCATTTTATTAACAAAATTTTTCCCCTCCATTTTGTCCCATCGTACTTCCTTGAATGAACCACCCAGGTTCTCCCATTTTCTTTCCCGCACTAATTGACCCGGAAAGAAATCCTTCCTGGGGGAATGAGCTATTGCCACCTGTACCCCTGTCTGCGGCTCACACCTTACTGCAATCATCCTGGGAAGAAATGATATGATAAAATTTGGAAAATATTCTGATGAACTTTCTGAGATATTTTTACCTGTCACCAATGGGAGAAGCCAGGATGCAACTACTAGCATTACCAAGAGGCTCCACAGCGCCAAGACCAAGATGAGAACTGTTTGCCAGGAACTGCCAACCCATGCATTTGGCCAGTGCCTGAACAGCGGTTATCTGATGCTGGTATATCTAGAAAATAACAATATTAATTAATTAGTTAATTAGATTATAGTATTACCAAGTATTAATATACGTGATCCTGATATTGTCAAAAATTTTACCTGGCAAAAAATCAAATCTCGCAATTCCTGTGGTTCATAACTCATGTGCATCACACGGCCATCCCGACAAACACACTTCAATGATTTCTCGCCGACGTGGACAACCAAGGAAGTGCGGCAGACAATATCATAACCATGTGTCAATATATTGATCTTCACGCAAGATTGCGTTGGAGAGTTTAGAGCATTCCAGTGAGATACAATCAGAGGATCCTTCACTTCTTTAGCTATTGTGTCGAGGACATACTCTGTGCGTAGCCTCATAAAAAAGTGTTGAGCTTGCTGGATGATCTGCTCTAGGAGAGTTTGACTTTTTGTCATCTCAATTAATTCATATCTATCCGCTGCGGTTGGTCCAGCCAAGCATCTACGTTTACTGGGACCAAGAGGACCTGATGACGGATGTGGAAATGGATGATGTGTGTTTTTATGATGCACTTCACGTAATAATTGATGTAAGGAATGTTCGAGAACATGATCGTGATCGGATTTATGTGGTGGTGGTGCTGAAGGTTTCTTATCATTTCCAGTACTGTGACATAGTCCTATGATGAGCTGAATTCCAGGAAGAACCTGTAATTAAAAACGTAGTACCGTAGATCATATATTTTTAAAAGGATGTAAAGGTACATAGTAATATTTATTATGCTTACAGTAGCCATTATTTGATTTCCTACTACCATATGTGGTATTGGTGCACGTAGATGCACTGCTTCCCTTGCAAGTTGGCTGAAGAGCTCCTTACAAAATAGAACGTTCTGTGCAGCTTCCAATTTTTGTTGCCAATGCATATCTGCATTTGAACTATTAGCACTGCTGTTAAGGAGACTAATGTTTGCGCTGCATAAGTCTTCTTGGTCTGACAAGATTCATTTTACTGTTAGATTTCTTTTTTTCAATAATTAATAGTTTTACTTTACCTTTTTGGCACAGAACTTCAATGTAGGCGACACCTTGTAATTCACTTGGAATTGTAACTCGCAGTGCAGATGCCTTGGTATTTGAGGAACCATGAGATTGTCCCGAAGCCACAGTAGCATTAGGATTAGGAGAAGCAGGTGGGCTTGTACTAGCCTTTTCTTCTTCCTCAGCTTTTGTAACTTCAAACATTCCCGTTTGCGTGTATTTTGAGCCAGCTGAAATTCATTTAACTTAGTTTTTGGTGCTGCGATATATATATTATTTTGACACTACATACCTGTACGATAGCTAAGATCACCAATTATAGAATTAGATACTTTTTTTAGCCGCCAATTTTGACGAAGTCTTAACAATTCAATATGGAAATCTGGTGTGGAACGATTTCTTGCCAATTCATTTTGACAGTTCCTCAAACGTTCAGCACCCATCATAAGTACAGATGCAGCACCAGCTAAGGCCTTTTTTCTGGCATAAATTTGAACAATTTGTTTTACTTCAGCAGCCTCCTGGGGCACAGGGTCCAATACCATGTACCTCTTTTCTTTCGCTATTGCTAAAACATCAGCTAATACACATACTTCCGTCAGAGCATTCCTAAAATTTGTGGAATGTGAATAAGTGTTCAATTTAGCTTAAAGACTATAACAAATTATTGAAGAAAAAAGTAGAACCTTAATTTGCTTCTAACGCTATCCCAAGGCCACAGGGATGACTGAAAGGCTGCAGGGTCCTTTGTATCATCCTCACTCTTTTCACTACTATCTGATTGTTCCTTTTTAACGTCATCCCCATTGATAGTTTTAGTAAAGTCAATTTTCTGGGCTATCTTTGCCAAGTTTTCAGACAATGTAAGAGGCCTACAATATATAAAAATGGAATAAAATGTGGTATAAGTAAACTGATACGTAGGTTACGTTACGTTATAAAAAGTCAAGACAGAATAAATTTAATGCACCATAAGAGAACTACTGCAATAGAAATATTCTTACGCTTGATAAATCTCTTGTCCATCATACGTAATTTCTTGTATTTGATTCTCAATAGGTGCTTCTACCGAAATATTCACGGAATACGCCATTATTGTTTGTATGAATCAGTCTGGCCAAGTTTAACTACTGTCAGGCGAACTTCATTTGTAGCCGATACAAATATGTTGTCAACCATGTACAGCATAGATCCGATCGATTCTATACGATCGGTGCATATTCTTCCTTTAGCTAAAGCATTATAAATATTATTGATAATGATTTTCATCTATTAACAAACATGACTAAGCACGGACAATAATTCTTGTATACATGAAATATAAAATATGAAATTCAAGAGAAACTATATATATTCTTGTAGCTTTCATTTCGAGTATCGATAGGTCATAAAATCGAGCGGGCATTCTCTGTCAAATTTGTATCTTTAGGAAAAATTTTAGTTGCCAAAAACAAAAGAAAGAAAATGGTTGAGCCTTTATAAATAGTTTTTTAATATAGAGCGTATCTTTCTTCGTTCAAAACAAGCTATGACTCCCATTATAATAAAATATCTTGTTTAAATAAGTTTCCAGTTCCGGGCGTCTGGGTTGGAGGTCTTGAAATTTCGGTATGGTTTCTGTGTATGTAGACCCCGGCTGATCCTGTGCTATTGATTCCGCGGCGCGCATCTTTCCCGGCGTCATCTTGTATTTTCGTGTGGAAGTTATCAAAGTGGGTTGGAGGAAGCTTATTTTTGGGAAGATATTGTGCTGAAAAACGGTGAGTACACTTTAACTGTTTATAAATAGTAAGAAGATACTCTGGGCTCAAGGAAATAAAAATATAGCGAAGACAGGATTACTTGATGGTTCTACCATCCATTTTGGAGTGCTGTGTCATATTCCTGGTAAATATTAGGAAATTGTAGATATTGAATAAGCGCGTGTATACCACTGAAATAACCCTATAAAGTAAGCAGTGCAATAATAAATTATAATAAAGCATAGAAATCTCACTGCTCTATGTTCTCTTCGCAGATAAGATATGACTCCGGAGGGTTACACAAGGGTCTACGTGGGAGGACTGAACGAAGGCATCAAGAAGGAAGATCTGCAGGTGGAATTTGAGAAGTTTGGAAAGTTGAACAAGGTCTGGGTTGCCTTTAATCCACCAGGCTTCGCATTCATTGAATTCTTTAATGAGGATGAAGCTGAAGTAGCCTGTGACAACATGAATGGCACAGAGATAATGGGTGCAAAGTTAAGAGTAGAAATATCAAGAGGTCGCGGTCGTGGCGGCGGCAGAGGCGGTGGAGGAGGTTTCAGAGGAAGCCGAGGAGCTGGTGGCAGAGGATTTGGTTCCCGTGGTCCAAGTACCGCCGGTTACAGAGGAAGCGGATCATACGGTGATCGCGGTGGAAGCTACGCTGGTAGAGGTGCTACGAGTAGGGGCAGAGGCCGCTACGGAGACGACTATTCTTCTAGCCGGAGCGGTGGTTATGCTTCTCGTGACAGCTATTCACGTGACAGCTACAGCACAGCCAGCGGCGATGGCGGCGGTGACTACTATGCCAGCAAGGACTCCGGATCGTCGAGGTATCGCAGCCGCTCACCGGCTGGTCGTGGCAGGTACTAACGATACCCAATCCTCGTTCTAAAATCTACCCAAGACCCGTAGCGAATAGCGCGGGGATGCCGGTAAAACGGCGAACGACGCTTGATTGATCAATGAAAGGATCGAAGTTAAAGCCACTCCGATTAATCGACGAAATTGAAACATCCTTCCGAGAGATTTTCGCGATTTCAAAGGGATACCATGATGGGATAAGCCATATCCACCGTGTTCAATTAATTCTCTCAAAAACCACTGAAGCGCTAATCACATCCGTGTGCTGCTCTTTATTAATGAACTCTAAATAGACTGCGCTTCGTCTACGAATTATTCTTCGATTAATCGTCGCATATGTAATCTTCGTATCGATATACTACGATCCGATCCTTCTACGGGCTGTGTACTTCGAACGTTCGCTAATGGAAGAACAAAATAAGACATACTCTGGTACTGAACACATTGGCAGATTCATATCTGTGAAGCTGACAATAATAATGATAATTAATGAAATAAATACGCGACGAGGCAAATGATTTTTGCCATACTTCGAGTATCCCAACGTCGACTGACAAGGACAGACCGCAAAATCTCTTAAATGCATGAGACTTCAATTAAGTCTGGTTATTGCGAGCGCTGGAATGTTAATACACGGCCGATGCATGCACGGACGTAGCGGATCGAGTAATTCGGCGATCGGAGACGCCCGGCGTCGCCGGGTGCTGGCAGTGAAAGTAATGTCAAACCCTGTTTTGCACTTCCATGTTCACAGTCATCGTCATCTGCGTGAATGCACATAAAAGAACTGCTCTTCGTTGCCAATCTGAACTGCGGGCCAATCAGCCACCCGCCACGACGACTTCGTTCTGTCCAATCTACGCAGCGACGTGTACATATACATTACAAGAATTACTATAACGATTTACGCTAAAGCATATTCTTTCGCACTCTACGAATAACGATTTTTATAGACAGTCAATCGTATCCTTAAAAAGATACGTCATTCTACTTTTAGGAGTCTCTGGTGTCTCCGTGTCTCACGTGATGACTATTTTTTAAAAATATGAGCCGAGGTATTAGCGAGAGGAAGACCGATATTTAAAAAAACGAAAATTACAGAAAGACTGACAGACTACGTGGCTCCTAACTCGTATATTAACTGGTAATATGATGATTAGCAGCAATTGATTAGCGCTTTTAAAATCCACATTAATTATGGCAGAAAGCTTTGCCTTTTTTTTTTGTATTTTGTATTATTTCATTTAATTCCATTGATGATAAATTGTATGATAATTCAGTGAAAATGAACGCGCGCATAGCGTGACTAGAAGCCAGTATCCCTCAGTATGTTCTTTTTGTATTTTTCATTGGTTGCCTTTTTTATGTTTTATAATCGAGTCAATAATAACGAGATATTCTCTTTTTTTTCGATCCTATGAATATTATCAGCGTTTAGAGTGCGATAATCTAGGATTATCAAACACTGTGTCTTTACGTAAAAAGAAAAATGAAAAAAAAAAAGAAAAAAAACGCCTGGCGTTTAGTTACTATTATTCTGTTCTATTGATAGCGGTGTTTCATTTTTTTTAAATATAAAGAAAATAGACGCTTGTAATCGTGTACTAAACTACGTCTTCGTACCGAATCTTAAAATCCTAATTAATGGGAAATCAAACTGCTGAAATAATGAGAATTCCTTATTATGAAACGAGAATTTAAGTTCCATCAAGTTTCAGATAAAATCGATTTGTTACGTGAGACCGTCATATAACGATACCCTAAAAAACACAAGAATTTGGCAATGATGTTTAACTCTTCTGTAAATTATTTGAGATTGGAGTAATAATTAAATATCTTGCGCTCACCACTGATCGCCACCCTGCCTGCCTGCCCGCTCGTCTGCCTCGCCGCCCGTGCGACTCTTTGCCTACAGTCTCTGTTTTAATACATATAAGAAGTGAAGACTCCAATGAATTCGCCCAGTGCAGAAATCAAGAAGATATTTGTCAGAGATTCACCTTCGATCATCAAGATGAAAATTCTATAAAGATATTCGGAGAGTACGTAGCTACCAGATGATATCCATTGTTCGACACCTATTTCTAAATACTGTGGAATGACTGTTCGTAAGTATTGCAGTGTAATGAAACCTTAGGATATGCTACAGAGGTACGAGTAAAAAACCATTTTTATACGTAAAAATGAATAATTTTCTTATTTATTATCTTACTCGTATTATATATACAAAGATTAGAATTATTTAATAGAGGCCAACAGGATCGCTCTGCGTTCGGTGTTTTGGAAAAGAGCTCTTATTAGTTGTCTTACTTGAACGTTAGAAAATTCACGTGCCAATGGTCCTTTACCATTTTCCCACCTATCTTCAATTTCTTTTAAGGATGCTCCAAGAACTTTTATCAGTTCAGTCAGCTTTTGCCATTTGCGCACGTGGCGCTGCACTGAATCAGGATCCTGAAAAATGAGAAGAAATTCTATAAAATTCCAAAACGTCGTACACGAAGCCGTATGAATAATGTCTTCTACATTCTTCATTTTTACAGGAATACATGGGAGAATCCGCAGTATGGGATATATTATATTAAAACGGCGTAAAATGCATTATTTCTTTCAGTGTATCGTATATACACAGAGTAATCAATAAAAAATTAATTTGTAATTTTTAGTTGAAATTTCAATTTAATACTGTTACCTCAATGGATTAATGATTTCCTGTTACCACTTACCGGAAATATGGATGGTCCTCGTTTGATTATCATGCTCAAAAGCGTGACTAATTCTGTCGCGACGTCTGCAGGAATGTCCTCGGCGTTAGTAACCTTGGTTATTAGGTCTTCCACCATTGAATTCATTATGCAACCTGTCGTCCAATTAATACGTTAATTAGGTAATTTATACTAATAATGCAAATAATATTTTTACGGGAACTTACCCACGGCTCTGCAATATATATTAACAGGTAATACACCAAGCCATACAGTTCTGAGCAATTCTAATTGTCTGATACATTGCCTCATGGCGCGTTCAGTACTTGGGGGTAATTCTGGAGTTTGACCCAATGTTGAGAGCCCTGATAAAGATTATTAGCGATGTAGAGCAAATGGAATATGAAGGAAAAATCTTCATAGTAATCGATAATGTGGAAATAGTTACCGGAATCTCGAATAATGTCAATAATAATATTTCTTTGATATTTCATATGTTCTAAGAAGTACTCAATACCAACTGTACGTAATAGTAAAGGCAGATCTACATATGTTAAATTGTGTGTCTTGAACAGCTCAGGCAACTTTCTTCTGTATTTGTGTGCCAATGTAAACAAGTTATGCGCAAGGTACATACAATTGTTGTGGAAGAGAGCTGTATGAAAATTTGTACATAGAATGGCTGGTAAGTTTCTATGGATTAAGTATAAAATTTGGAAATTGAAGGCGTATGCACTTACCAACTTGTTGGGGAATAGTCTCCAGGAATTTTTTATGATGTTCTGGTACTAATCCAGCGTACATCTCAAATACATTTCTGCTGGTATAGAAGAGTCTTACTGAACAAACTTCTGAGCTCGAACATGCCTCTTCCAAGATTCCCCTTACCAGTTCCATTATTTCTTGCACACTTTTACTATAAATTTAAATATTAGTAACCTGTGTTAATGTAGTAATTGATAAGTGTGTGTTTACCTTATTTGACATGCAGGTAACTGGAATGTAACTTTGCTAAGTTTTCTGTTTATTTCTAATCCATAATCGTCTAAAGCTTCTTCAGGAAACTGCAAAGCTTCCTAAGCAAAAAAAAACACAGTAAGTATGAAATATATAAATGATAATATCGAAATAACATTCATACCCGAGGTTCATGCTTAATCGAATCGTGAAGATCCTTCTTCATTATTACTCGAGCTTTGACCAGTAGATCTTGACATATCTTATCAATGAATAAACTATCTATGTTTTTTGTGTAATCAGACAAAAATAATTGTTGATCAGTTATAAATCCTGAAAATTCACATTGTTATTGAAATCAATTCATATGTATATGAGTGAACAGGGAAATAATAATGGAGACATACCAATTTCAATGAGATAATCCTGGAATTCATTAATAGCCTTAACCACAGGTCCAAACTTTTGAAGCTCTGCACTTGAACTAGGAATTGTGTTAGCTATACAGTCTTTTATTAACGTATCAGAAAGTGGTTTGAGTAAGCAATTACGAAATTCAGCAAATAATTTCTGTTCTCCTTCCAGAGTTACATTCAAATGTTGATGCAAGAATTGGAAGAGCAGCTTCAGATTGTATAAGACACTTTCATAGCAGGGCTTGTTTTTCTTGTCTGTTGTTTTCACACTAAAGACTGTTTCATCAAGTACGTGGACATCGCATACATAATTAATTAAAGGACGAATTACATGATTCATAAGCTTCATTGCAAGATTGTTCAGACAATTATTGAGATTTTCAACATAATGTAATGCCTGGATCAGATCCTGAATTTCTTCTAATCTACACTGTATAGTGAGAGTAACAGATAATGCTTTAGATGGCTCTTCAATTGCATTCCAACTAATGTGTTGCTGCCAAAGAGCAGAAATATCACCAAGAAACAAGCTATGCACTTGACCATACTCATTCATTATCGAATGAAATATATCCACACTCTGTAAGTCACAATCGGGACTCTCCAATAACACTTGGACATGTCGAATAGTTTTTGCAGCATCCACATAACGTTTTTGTTGCTTATATGTTTCGATGCTTCTTAAACCATTATGCAATTCTAAGAGTTTGCTAGAAAGCTTGATGCTTATACTAGATTCTTTTAAAGCGTCTGATAAACTTTGTAACTCTCTTGTGGATCCAGACAGCTCTATTTTAATCTGAAAATATAATAATTACTATTAACTGCAAAATGCACAACTAGACTAACAATAAGTGCTACGTACTTGTCCCTCGACCCGTGCTTGAAGAATATTCATTTCATTAATAAGTGATTCAGCTTTGTTTGCCAGGGTTTCATTACTTTTAAGTTGCGGAGTAAATTCAATGTAATTATGATCCATAAAGTCTTTGACCTCATATTTAAGGTTTAAAACTTGTTCTTTTATTTCATTTATTTTCTCGTTGAGGTCAATTTTTTCATTGTTTCCTAGAATACATTTAATATCAATTTTTTTATAAACAAACAATATATCCAGCGTATAGCATACATCCTATTATACCTATAGGTAAGTCTTTATTACATAGTATTTCCAATAAATGTAATAATAATAAAGGCAAATAAACAATAAACTTTTTTGTTACCTGCTGTAAGGAGTATGTTGGTTAGAAAAGAACTCATTTTCACGATAAAGTTAATTAAACATTCAGGAAGAAAATAAAACCCAGTATCACAATCTAGTTTGTAACATCCAAGAAAATAAATTCCATTCAACCTTTCATATAAGCAGTTTACACAATAAACTGCCTGAGCAAATTGTTATTTAAAATTTATAAAAGTAAAATCCTTGACGTAAACTGACACCGATGCAACCGTCGGTACAGCAGTTACGTTTTTGCGCCATCTTTTTAAAGTCTTTACAAGCAATCTTTAAATTCGTCGAATTAACAACTAACTAAAATCGAACAACTGTGTAAAAAAAATGGACAAGTTTAAAATACCAACTTCCATATAAATTCAAAGATACTAATATTCCTTGAAATGGCTCTTTTGTATAACTTATGCCATTAACTATTAAATTTGTTTAAGCTGCGCCTTCCGAGTGGCAACCCGCGATACTTTCGTGGACGAAAGAAGTTCAAATACAGTTACCATGGTTACTCACCATTCGGTACGTTACCACGGCAACCAGACATTCAAACTCGCCTGGAGAACACTCAGGTGAGACGCCACACCGTTGACCAGCGTCGTGGAAGTAGTGGGAATCAAAAGGTAGTTACTCACCTGTTTCACAACCTGCGTGACGTAGAAGTCACGTGACGGCCGATACTTTTCGAAAGCATTCGTTTCTAGAGCCAAGCGGCGAGCATCAGGCTTTAGTGAAACCGCACCCAATGAAACGCCAGGAGGCCGTGGCGCTCCTCGCAAAGCATCCTCGACAGTGCACCATGCAACCGTAGTAGCGTTCAGCCATTCCTCCAAGGCGAACTGCATTTCTGATCTTTCTCATGAAAGATATCAGATCGTCATATTGCGACGATTTTCTGTGAGTGTTGAAATCCATGGATCTTGATCCATAACGATGGTTACACGGAGATACATGGTTTATCCCAGGTAACGCAGATATGGCGTAGTAGTACCACGGTGAAAAGTGAATTTTCATGTGGCTAAGTATAGTGAGTGAATGTTGATGCTATAAAAATTTGTTGTGTTATAAGGAGTCTACTGTGTGACCATAAAGTGTTCATTGAAGACTATGGAAGTGAGAGTCTTCTTGTGGTGAAAATCCAGTTGGAACAATGCTACGTGTTTTTATGGTATCCTGATAAGATATCAAAGGTGTCTAATCTGTGATTTATTAAAAAAAATTGTGAAAAATACTTCAAATGTTTTTACTATAGTGCTATGTTACGAAATAGCCTGAGGATGAAACTGTTAGCTAACAATGATATTGGTACAGGATTCTATATTGTTTTGGAGTAGTGAATATATAATTATGGTACAGTCGTGGCTGGTTAAGCAATGACGTTTTATATCTGGCGAATAATCCCAGGATAGTATAGTGACTCAGCCTGATACCTTTGCGTGCATTGGAATTTGAAACTGGTGATAATTATCAAGGAAAGTGCAAGTCGTTTGCTATATCTGTGTTTGCATGTGATAAACGTGTGAATCTATACTGTGTTTAATTGTGCGTTAGAATGTCCTGGACAATGAATTTATCCTTCATATGTCTTCTCCTGAGTATCTTGACTCTGGTGAAGTCGCAATCACAATCCGATTCGACAGATCAGCCAACAATTTATTACACAGAGCCCAGTTTTGTTGGTTCCAGTAGTGGAAATGGAGTTCAGGATTTCACTGAACTACCTGGAGGTCGGATCACCAAGGGTCAAAGGCTATTGGAAAGGTCACGAAGTCCTTACTTACTTCGTGAAGATCTTTTCGTCGAGCGTGCCGGTGAGCTCGTCGTAGAATCTGGTGTCGAGATCCGGTTTGCCCCTATGATAGGAATCACCATCCGCGGTGTGATTACTGCCAAGGTAAAAAAATTTTATATTCTTAATATATTCTTCGTTTTATCGCATTCTGGATGCTTTTGTGACAGCAGCGTCGTGACGCCGGATGCTCAGATGGAAGAATGTTCTTTGTCCATTCGGATAGAAAGAGAAGGAGAATTCGACTCAAGAAGAATATAACGAGAATGAGAAAGTAAAAAAGACTCTGATCACAGTCAGCTTGCCTCCTATAACTTCTGAAATAAATTCCTCGCTAGCATCCCCTGTTCTTCACATAAAACATTCTGAGGGTGCCTGACTTTTTGGTAGCCTAATAGCCCCTATTGTATATACACACACGTGGGTATATATAATATACTACACGGTCAACGTACATATAGGAACAGCTTGCGTGAGGGACTAAATATCATCTACCTGCAACCTGTCCTGGAATACGAACCCTTCGATAATTTGTCCCAGTATCCCAAGAGTTTTCTGATATATCATAAATATCCTCCTATTATCTAGAATTACCTTGGGAACCTGTTACCACAATTCCATTTTGGAGAACACGTGTACAGCATTCGACACGCATGTGCAATTTTGAGATACGTATGTAAATTACATTGCTATTAGACTCCTCCTAGAGTACAATAGGCATTCTAACGTTACTACTGTGTATTTATGCACCTGAAAGGTCTTATCAAAATGGGCTTATCTTATCGGTCGGCACGAGACCGAGTGTGTCACAGGTATTACCAACACGATTTATCTCTTTAAACCTGAGGCGCACTGACTTACTCTTCTCTGTATTTCACAGGCGAATTTCATTGCTGAAAAATACCAACACCTGATACCGACGGATGATTATCGAAAATTTACTCCACGCTCATAATGCTAATTGTCACTCTGGAATGTTAATTCTTGCGAAATTGCTGATGACTACGACATAGCTACGGCCAATATGAATCACATTTCCGTGCGTTATGAGTCACGTTCGTGTAGCCTAGTTTATAATTGTACTGCTGAAGATGGGTCAGACAGTTATATAGATTTATTTTTAAAAAATCTGTGAACAGGTAACATGACATATAACGTATCGGGCAGTCAATCTAATTTATATTTTGAAGGATTTAAGGTTATATAGGATTAGGCTTTGGAAATCAATAACACAGCTGAACGGTATCACAGGGTATCTACGAAAAAGGAAAACTAATGGAGCATCTAAATACTGCATGGCTAAAGTAGAATTAGGAAAATCGATATCACTGCTGTATTATGTTACAAGCTTATTTTTATAATTATCATAGAACAATCTAACTCTCCTATAGTAACGTTTAGAAACAGAGTTGCTTTTGTTAATGGCTGTAGACGGTTTTGCCGTTACTCTTCGGAGACTCTGTGAACCTTATGTACCTAAACTATGTACTATATGTTCTCAGGCATATACGCATAAATTATGTAGCCGTATAAACTCGACTCTGTCACACAAAGCAGCCAGGAGGACGCCAACGTAACCTATGTACAGTTGCGTGTTGTGCGTGTATCTTCCAGATGCCAGTGACTATGTAATGGCAAACGTATGAAATATCCACTGTGCTTTTACCCTGGTTTTGTTAATTATATTGTTTAAGTAATACGAACAGTGAGATTTGATAAAGAAGTCAGATGATAGATTATCAAAGGGCTGAAACAATTTTTTAAAACTACAAATACTAGATTTTCTTTTTATCAATGTAGACAGTCGATGCAATTTTTTTTATTGCAAATAAAAAATTATTATCCTCGTATGTAATTTCATAGCCTTACATGTCTTGGTACGCTTAATAGCATTTTTAGAAGACGATTCTAGAAGACGTAATTCTAGAAGACGATCTCTAATTCATCTAGTTACATTACTGTAGACTGATCTAACGAAATTTCAAAATTTTCAAATAGATGTTTCCGTAAGTTTTATACAATTTTATAATATTTTTTAATAGCGTAGATATGGTTAAGTACAATTGTGTCCCGAGCAAAAAGTTTGTTATGATGCTATAGATATAGTTTCCTAATTACACTTATTGGATGCATCATATAATTAGCCAGCTCCACTTCAATTTTACTGGAAGCTGAACAATTTGACATAGTTTGTTTTTTTAATTAGGAAATGTAGCTTAGAATGTACTGATAAATAAACCAATGAATCATCTTTTCAAATTAGTGTTTGCGATGATGATGATGATGATGACAATAGTATTTCTTCAGGATTTTCTAAATTTCCTATTGAGTAACTAGATCTGCTTTTCCCTGATTAAACACAGGAGAAAATAGTAAATTTATCGTTGACGGTAATGTCTCGTTACCTAATGCAATTTTCTAAGCAATCTACTCTACTAACGAGATTAAATAAGGACAGTGTACTTAGCATAGTAAAGAGAGTCACTACATTAGCATTGTTCATCGGTTCAATAGAAGATGATTTCGTTAATGAATATTTACAAATACAATTAAATAATTGTATAGACAATTAATTTCTAGGCAGATTGTCCAACACATATATATACATATATGTATATATATATATTTATTACTAATCATAGAACGATGCTGTGAAATTACAATAATGGAGAAAGAGATGGTACGCAGACCGGAAATACCAGAAATGCGTGAATGGGGTACTTATGGTACCCGTGGTGCATAACATGCATACAATATATCATAGGAACAGGTGGTCGTCATCACAATGAGTAAACAATACAACCCATCATTCACAATGGTCCCTTCAAGGAAATCCGTTCGTGACAAATGATTAATCATTTACAGAAAAATTTGTATAAAATAATTCTATATAGAAACGAAAGAAAAAATTCGTGTCTATATAAAGCCCTTTACTTTTTAGGCTGACCCAATTCTACCGTACCTATATCACCTTAGCCTACTACGTCCACGCCCTAACGTAACCGACTAATCGAGCGAAACTTACGGTAAATTAAAACGTTTCTGAATTACCGTTCCAAGTCAAAACTCGAGGAAACGGCACATCGATGATTCAATTCTCTCCAGTCCTGACCGTAAAGATCACTGGCCCGAAACCTGGAAGCTACCGGAAGTGGGTACCGTGTGGTTCGTACCGTGAAAGAACGGAGTAGACTAGTTGAGTCCAGAATATTATTGAGGGTGGAAAGTTTCGTATTTTAAAAAATTTCTTACGTGAAAGGAATATATATATATATATATGATATATATATGCGTAATGATATATATATATATATATATATATATATCATATGCATCGACATAAAATACGTTACGGTTTGATCGCACCACGTAAAGACTATGAATAATGTATAAACTAAGAGAGTATCTGACCATCCTTTTTACTCGACACGCCCATCTACTCGTGATACCGGAAGAGGGAAGCCGTTTTAGGAAATATATTACTTTACCGTATAACGATCGATAGTCTTGGTAATTACGTTAACTCACTTCGTTTTCGTATATCTTTCTTATTTTTCGTACAATCATTTTTCTTCGTGTATTCTCCTCTTAGCTCTCTAATTATTATTCAATGGCATATTCTTATACAAGTTGCTCCACGATACAGTGAATATTTAATAGAGGATAGAGTTTTGAGAGATTTGAAATCCGTGTTACGATTTAAGTAAAATTTATTCATTGCGTTTTATCTGATTCTTCGTGGTACGCCCTACGTGTGCTCGTCCCTCCGTTTAAGGGCGTAGAAGAAAGCCCAGGGATTTTACCGGTAATTAGATTTAATTGTTATAATTCCCACGTGAGTCCAGGACGAAAACATGAAATTTGCGTGGGTGGCGTAAAGTGCGTAAGTGTCGGCAAGTGCGTGCGCAGGGCTGTGTTTTAGGCCTATTAAAGTACCATGAACTTGGGGACCATTAAGTACAGGATTGGGTAGCAGACCCACGCTTTGCTCTCATAATCGGACGACGCCGAAGGTTGTAGTATTTGAAAGAGAGAAAGAAAAGTCAGTATTTTTTTTATTGCTCTCCATAACCTATCTAATGCAATTATTAATTGGTCGAACGATCAAGGAACTGGGCTTTGTCTAATTTCTTAATTAACGATGGGAAGCTGGGGTTATGAATGGGTGAATCAACTTTGCCGCCTCCGCGACACATTTCAGGTCATAGGTCAACGAGTCATTCTCGACTCTAGTTAACATGTGTTGACCTATCACGTCCTCGTCTTTCAGACAGATTAGAATCCTTAGGTACAGACACGATTTTTTGAGTCCCGTGGATAATGACTTTTTGACCACACTGTAGATCACTTAGTGTAGTATCTTTTGTCATGAGCTAATTTTATCAGTCATCGGGGCATGATAACTGCAGATAACAAAAATATGACGTAAATTCATTTTTAATTTTACATGGGTATATGGAGTCGGTACACGAGTCAAATGCGTTTCCGAGGGGTCATCTTCTTATGCATTTCAACGTTAGAAAGTCCCCTAATCCTCACGGTTTACTATTCATCGAATATCATCGTTTAGTCATTATTTAAATCAAGAAAATATATTCTTGCGGTACACAGTGTTTCTTTTGCTATATTACAAAATGTGGGATACTTATAATTTTTATAGTGCTTTTGAAATCGCCTGGGAATCTTATCACGCTTATCAGTACAGCCTGCGCAACGTATCTTTATGTACATTGTAAGTTATCAGTGGATGATTCACACAATTTTTATTAGTAAAAGCGTAGTGAACAATTAGATTTATTGGAATGAATTTTATTTTCTAATATTCTAAGCATCGTACACTGGTGGCGTACAGTAGCTAAACACGTTCGTAGTAGAGTCGATTGACTATTGTATCTAAACAGACTTATCTCACGGTCAGTACAATACAATGAAATATTTCAGTTGAAACGGGAATTGGTATAGTTTTTATATGGATTTACAGTATTTATAAAGGCATGTTCCTGGTCGAGACTCGTCATTCGAGTCTCGATTATGGGATAGGTAAGTTTTTGTTCTTGAGGAACTTCTTCTTCTTTTCTTACTTTCCGTTTCTCTGTAACGAATTTTCCCCTTCGATCGAGTGAGCTGCGATATTTACCCTTTCATTCGTGACGCGAAATCAAATTATTCATGAAGGAATTAATAAATATTTCATTAATTGAAAAATTAATAGTTTCCAAAATATTTCAAAAAATTCCACCAGACTTCTTATCATCGCACGTTCTTCTGTATCCTTCATATTTCTTCGTGCTGATAAAATAATCAAAATTAAATTAAGCGCTTGACCTGTTCCTGAAATGAAGGAACATCACTGTCCTTGTATGTATGGCAAAAAGAAATATGAATTTTATCTGAACATTAAATCTTCACATGTGCTCTGACTTAAGATTCATTCATGTACCAATGCGCACAAGTAATTTTACTAAAGTAATCCTTTATACTTTCAGGGCGAACCAGAGAAGCCCATAATATTAACAAGTGCAGAGACTCCGTCCGGTCAACCTGAGCCAAGGTCTATTCGTCTGGTGGATGGTCCAAGTCCGTTGGAAGGTCGACTTCAGCTTCTTCACCAGGGCGAATGGCGTGCTGTTTGTACAAACTCAAGAAAGTAAGTAAAAAAAAAATTGTCCTTCACTCGAGGTTCATTGAGTCAAATAATTTCTCAATATCAATAAATTCATTTCTATTCCGTTCTATCGAGTAATAATAGTTTCTTCAAGCCGTACCCTGTTCTAATGTGTGTTATTAATTGATAGTTGGACTCGTGCCGATCTGGAGACTGCCTGTCGCGAATTGGGTCTACAAGGTGGTCGATGGGTAGGCTGGATGGATAGACAATGGCCAGCCAAACCACGTCTTCTATACGAGCAACCGCAGTGCCGAGGTACCGAGGAATCCCTGCAAAGTTGCGACCAGTGGTCTAACAGGCAACTCGGTGCTGGAGTCTGTGGTAAGGTTATAATTATTTAATAATATGAAAATTAATTGAAACAGTATTGAATGATTCGACATGCGTTTGATAGACTATCATCCTGACCTTGGCATCTCATGTTCTCCACATCATGACGGTGCGACTCAGGCCGTTAGGCATTGGCGAGGTCTCAGGTTCGAAGGTGCAGTTTACGACAAGCCTCTGATACAAGAAAACACAATGTATATTAAAAGGTCGAAGTCCATTCTGAGATACGTCGATATCAAGTAGGTTTCTTTTTTCTTATTTATGGAAATTAATTACAGCCTGAAATAATTTATAATGTGTATTCATAGGTATGCAGGCACCGGAAGAGAATTTAACGTCACTTCCGCTCTTCATATCGAGGGTGTACCACCCCAGATGGAATCCTTGTCGATACTTCATTCAGCATTTACGGGTATAAATATTACCTCTCCGGACGCTCCAATTGTTCTAAAAGGCTGTACTATACGTAGTAACAAAGGTGAGGATGATTATTTTGTATGACCGTTGATATATGTATATTCAATGGTAACTGGAATATTTATTGTCTATTGTTATCAGGATATGGAATCTACATGAATAGTTCATCTGGACTAGCACACATTGATAACTGTGTCGTCCTTGATAATGGAGCTGATGGAATAAAATATGTCCACTATGACGAAAGACCTGACGACAAGCTTGACCGGGCGGATGTCTTCGACCTCTGCACATTTCCCACAACAACAAGCCAAACATTTCCCATTACGATTTCTATGGAGCAAAATAAATATGCGCCAAATCCAAAACGATGCCCACAGGTAAGTAACGAATTAGGTTTACGTATATTATAACATTTAATTATTTAGACAGATATATCTATATACATATTTTTTTTAAATGCTTTTTAGCATATTTTTACCCAACCCGGCCACGTGCTGACACTGCAATTCCTGCAAATGAAAACTGACAGAAACGACAGTGCTACCATAGAAATTTACGATGGTGTAAGCAACGGCGAAAAACTCCTGGCTCGTGTCAGCGTTAGAAATGGAACTTTACCACAGAGTGTGACGACAACTCGTCAGAATTTATTTATAAAGTTTAATGCCCAATCTTACACGCAAATGATCGCATTTATACGACTTTCTTCAGGATACAGTAAGTTCTAGTTAGTGCAGCTGTATTGTAATTTACTTGTTTATGGTTCATAATCATTGGCTATTCTTACAGAAAAAATGTACGACCTCAATGTAACCGGCAGTACAATTGCTGATAATAACGGAAGAGGTATTGCTGTTGAGAAACTTCGTTCAGCGCTTCACATTCATGATACTTCAGTGTCGAATAATAACCACGTTGGTGGTGTTCACGTCCTTGGTGGCGCTGCCGACGTGAACGTTACGGAAAGTCGAATTTCGTTCAACAGAGGCGACGGAATTAACATCACAGTCATAGGAGGAAATAGAAATATCTCACGTACCAGTATATCCTCCAATCAGGGTTATGGGTTTGCTGTATGGTTAAATGACAGTTCCTATACTGAGTATATTCATTTTAATCAGACAACTGTTGTTGAATACTCTGAGATATTTAGGAACAAGGATATTGGTGTTTTGGTAAGAGATCTTTGTTAGAATTTATCAGTATAGTTAAACCGTATATCGTTGCTGGCGTACTGTATGAAAATTGTTTTGTTGCAGGTCGGGAATTCTACAGGCAATTCCTACGTAAATGTAACGGGAAATTGGTTTAACAGTAGTACAGAAACAGCTGTACAGGTAGAGTCCAGTTGGCGATACAATCAAGGATTATTGTGGCTACAAATTGGCCATAATGTATTCATTCAGAATGCAAAGCTGGGTATTAAATTGAGTCCAGCTTTAAATATGAAGGGTTGCGTCGAGTACAATCACTTTAAAGAACATACTTATGGCGGTATATTGGTCAAGAATCCTCTCTACGAGGAATTCAATATTTTGCCGGCAGATATTGTAATTCAGCACAATGAGTTTTACAATAATCGTGGCGTGTACGTTGTCAGTATTGGACTCTCGCCTTATAGCGACGTTCAGCAGCTGCTGTTTACAAGAAATTTTGTACGTGACAATCGTGTACGAGAACCCTTTGACAACAGTGATATACAAGGATCACGTTTAATTCCACGATCAAGAGTCTCCGCGGCTGTTGTTGTCTCATCCAGTAATGTTCATATTTTTCGAAACATATTGCACAATCTCGATTCCCAGTACGAGATTGGCTCCCATTTAGAAGACCAGAGTAAAATTATCAATTGTACATACAATTGGCTTGGTTTTTCTCAAGAAGAGAAAATATTTGAAAGATTGTTTCATAGGTATAGTTCACACAGTATTTTGGTATAGTAGTGGTACTATGAAAATGTGTTTTTTTTTTACTAAATCATTTGTTTTTTATATTTTAGGAAAGACAGATATAATCTGGCAAAAATTGAATATATACCCTACTTACTGCATAGTAGCAATCCTAGTGCCAATACGATCATTTCGAATCCAACGTTCGTAGCCCAGTTTAACACGCCTGGAACGAATTTGGTGGGTGGTGAGGTTGACGGACAGGAAATTCTGCAGGCTGGAGAGTACATCGTCAGGCGGGATATCAACATTAGACCGGGTGGTAAACTTATTCTTCAGCCAGGAGTTACCTTGAGATTTCCACCAGCTGTGGGAATGATGGTGGCTGGCAAATTGGACGCCCGTGGTAAAGGACCCAGCGATATTCTTATGACCCTCAAGGAAGAAATTATAATAGAACCTGAAAATGAAACACTTGCTGAAATGGTTAGACTCGACGAAGCTGATTCAGTACCTGTTAGACTTTTGGGCGGTAAAACAAACCTGGAAGGCCGTTTACAGGTTGGTATTACTGTTTTAAAATGTTTATATGTACCTGGATAAATTTATTCAATCGTATTTGTTACTGTTAAGGTTCGAATTGGTGAAAAATGGGGTACGGTCTGTAATTATGGTTGGACTATTCGTGACGCAGCATTAGTGTGTCATCAATTGGGACTCACATTAGAATCAGATAATTGGTTCATGGAACGATCTCAGATTCCTAGTGCCGGGACGAATGAGGATATTATTCTCAGCAATGTGCAATGCACTGACGATGACATTGACGTATCTAAATGCAAAGCTGAGAGTCAGGGAGAATTTGAGAATTCCTGTACACATGACAACGATGTCGGAGTCAGATGTTCGGAGGCCGCATGGGCCGGACTCAGATTAGGTCCTTTGGCGCAGAGAAGTGACTTGCAATACATAACCATTGAGAAAGCTGGTTTACTAGATTACACTACGAGTTCCTTTAAACCAGGTAAATATGATTTTTTTTTACTTAAAATAATATCTCTGATGATAAATAACTTTGATTCATAGCTCTGCAAATCGACTTTGCTCGTCACTCCCTGGAGGGCATTAAGGTAGTGAACAATCTGCAGGACGGTCTAGGTGTCCTGTACTCTGACATTTATTCGGCCGACGCCGTGAACACTGTGAAAAATAGTGATTTCTCAAACAATGGCGGTAGCGGAATTAGTTTCAAGCAGTTGGGTCTTCGCATTGCCAATTCCAAAATTGAAAATAATAAAATCGCCGGGGTCAGGCATAATCCAGCTTTCTCTGCGGTACAGCAGAGAGAATTAGCTGGATGGTTTGTACTATCGCCGGATATGACAGTTGATACACCCTACAATCCCATAATAGTACCAGCAGATGGTACTACGGATATTAAATTATCTACTGGAGAAACAAAATATTTAGTAACATCCAAGTACATTGGAGAAAATCTTGAGCGGCGTATAAATATACACGTGAGTATTATTTTTATAATATTACAATTATTACATTTGATAGTTTTCACAATGAATAGTCTTTTAACAGTGGTTATATGCAAATTTCAGTGCACTCCAGGATACGTTATTGGGATTCAACTTCTTAATCCCATTCACAATCGAAGCACCGAAGAAATAATTCTTCACGATTCGCAACACATCATTCACAAAGGGAACATTTGGCATGTTAAAAGAGACTTGACTGTATTTCCAGTAGCGTCCAGTTCATTCGTAGTTATACTGGAGTATCGAAGCGGAAGCAATGCACTAGGAGGTACAGTCATGGTTCTCACAGCACTTCCGGCTCCTGTGCAGGTAATTAAAATACGATTTTTAATAACGTTTTCTACTAGCGATTAAATTATTGATAAAAATGTTTTTTTCCTTTTGCAGGATATTCGTAATAAAATTGTCAAGGGCCCAGTTCCGACGCTAACTATGTCTAATGTAAAAATCAAAGGAAACAAGAAAGGAATTCTTGCCTCTTACTATAATCGTTACATAGACGAGATTGGTGATCATTACTTGAGAAAAGCTAATGAATCTATTCGTCTAATTAATTGCGAAATTTCGCATAATACCGAGGAGGCCATTCACATACATTCTCCTCACTGGAACGTGTTTGAATCGAATATATCCGAAATATCATTTCACGTGAACAATACCTTAATTACCGACAATGGTAAAGGTATTTTACAATTTAGCAGAGATATGAGACACTCGAATAATCTGTTTCACTGGATTATGCAAGATAGCACAATTGAGAGGAATCAAGCTGGTGGCTTTGAAGTATCACTACCATATGTTTGGCAGTACAATGAAAACTTCACTCACACTCTGTACTTTGGTAACAATACTTGGCAGAACAACAACCATTTCAGTTTTGTAGTAGACGGCCACTTCGCTATGCTGAACATGTCTCACAATCAGTTTGATAGTAACCGATGCAAGACTGGTTTAATATCAATCCGTGGAATGGAAAAGAAAATGCGAATTAATAATAATCGAATATTGCGAAACAGTGGAACATACATGGTGGAATTTAAGGCTGACAGTCAGTCAGAAATTTTAGGCGAAGTTCATGCTCACTTCATTTTCAATGAAGTTAAACAAAATCATCATGGTCTCATTAGTCGTGGTTTTCATCAAATGTACAATACACCGACTTACGTAGTTGGATTTCATGGTATTCAAAAAGTGCGGGTGAACAGAAATTTATTTGGCGATAATTCATTGGACTACGAATTGTTAGCTGGTATAAAAACGGCTAAAATTAATAACGTGGTGGACGTGTCTGAAAATTGGTGGGGAACAGCAGACGATGCACAAATCAGGCAGAAAATCTTCGACTTTGACGACTGGAATGATCATGCGGTGGCGAATTTTCGGCCGTATTTGGCTACTGACAGTTTGGACTCATCGATTTCGGCGTCATTCGAATTGAAGACTGAGGTTGACCTGAACAATTTGGGTGGACGTGTCTTGGAAAGTCTGTCTTTGTACCCCAGGTCAGAATCTTACGTTGTCCGATCTGACATTACCGTGATGCCGGAAGCGACTTTGTATATCTATCCGGACGTCGTGATGGAATTCGCACCTAACGTCGGTATCCTGGTGCTTGGAACTCTGAAAGCCATTGGCGCTGCAGGTCACGAGATCATCATGAAGCCACTTAGCGGAGATAGCTCAATCGCTCTTAAGCCTAACAGTAAAAGGAGTTTGATGAGAGATCCGCCATTGGAAACGATTCGTCTTTGCAAGGATGGAAATTGCACGTCGTCGACTAACGAAGGTATACAACAGTTTGAATTTTTAAATGAAAAGTCAGTTTACATGTATCCGTAATGACGATTTGTTTTTAGGTTTCCTGGAATTCTTTAATCGCACGACCCTGCAATGGATTCCTCTCTGCGATTCTCGATTCACCGAAAGAAACGCTCAGGTAGCCTGCAGGCAACTAGGATATGATCCCTTGAACGTTTATGTGGCTCGTGATCGTCGATATGAACTTCATCCGGGATCCTTGTACAGGATCTGGTCCTGGCCCGAACCGCAACAAGTAATATTGCTGAAAAAAAGACATTAATTATTAATTTAATCACGAGATATCAATTTCTTATGTGAAATTTAATGCATTGCTCATTCTCAGTGCTCCGGTAGCGAGGAAAGCCTAGAGGACTGTCAAATCAGATTGAATGGTCAATTATTCGGTCATCGATACGAATGTCCTTGGGATGGGAAATTTGTATTTATACACTGCGGCGAAAGAAATATTGATCCTTCGACGGATTATTGGGGTGGAATACGTATTGCAAATAGTGAATTTGAACATCATCTTTACGAACACAGAATTCATGATGTTGTTACACATGAGACGGTGCAAAGGGTGGAATCAGTGCTTAAATTCATTAATATCACTGGTGCTGGTATTTTGCACAATGAAAAATCAGCGGCTGTACAGTCAATCATGAAATCCCCGGAAATCAGTCATGTTAATATCACTAAAAGTGCATATCATGGAATTAATGTAATATCTCCTACGAATACGGTACGTAGCCTATAATAGTTATCAAACGAAATTCCCTATATCACATGTTTATTTAATATTAATATTATTTCAGGTGAAATTACTATTTAACGAAATTAAAAATGTCCTTGGCAATGGCGTGAATATTTTATCGATAACTGGAGAAGGTCGCGAAGCCGAAGAGAGTTCCTTTACACCTATCAAGGATTTGAATATTCCTTATCATTTATTTAGCATGATCGACATATGTGACACTACGAAAGAAATAATAATAGAGGAGAGAGTCCTCGTGTATTATAAGTATGACAATAATCCAGTGAATTGTGTGAAAATATTTAGAAGTGCCTACAGAGCGAAACCATTTGGATTTAGGTAATTTCTTTATAAGATTTCATATGAAAGTTCAGTCTTTACTTTCTTGAAGTCTTTTTAATTATTATATTATTCCTACAGGCTCTTACAATTCAACTTGTTCAATTCCACTGGAAAACCAGGACGAGCAGATGGTATAACTTTGTATGACGGCGATATTTATAATGTAACTGCCACGAAGATAGGACATCTGGAAATGGACAGTACACATGAGAAAAAATTATTTCGCACACATGGTCCCAGTCTCAGCGTAAGACTTTTTGCAAATGGCGCAAGTAGTACACACGGTTTTATAGCGGAAGTTGTAACACTGCCCATTTCTGCTATTGGCTTCAGTAAGTACTAGTTTAAATAATTCAAAAACACTTTCATATATTATTAATATATATATAAACAATTTCATATATTATTAATATTTAATTTTCTTAAAGATCGCGACGTACAACACAATGTTTCTTATTCTATAATATCAAACTGTCGCGAAGGGGCTGTCAAATATGCAAGTGCAGGCGAAGTCAATGCTATAATAACGCTGGAGCGTAATCAGTTTACAAATAACTGTGGAAAGCTTTATGGTAACTTTTCTACCTGTAAGTCAGCAGTTTGGTTGGACGTACAAAATACTCAATCGCTGTATTTCATGGTAAGTTACTTTCGTGCATTTTTCTCGCTTAATTAATTTATTGTAATATAAAAAAAAAAACTGATATACCAAATTACATTTTGCAGAACAATCTAGTGAAAGGAAATCAAGGTGGTCTCTCAATACGTGCAGATTCGAGAGGATCTGCTACTTCTTTGAAAGGTTGGATTCAGAACAATCTTTTCACAGAAAATCTTAATAAACCAGCACTGTGAGTATTGAAATGAAACTTAGCTTTGTGTAATGGAGATGTAACTTTTATTCAAATATTTTAGCTACGTTGAAGGACGTCAGAGCAGTCCTTATCAAGAAGTAACGATATACCGGAATTACTTCACTAAGAACAACGCGCCATATGACAATAACATTGTACTGAAACAAGTTGTCAGTAACATGACCCTGAATTATCTACACGGTAATCTTGGGATGCACCTTTTGGAAATTTCGGGCTTTGAACGAGTTCGGTTACCAATTTATCAAAGTACTTCCCACAATGGCTTCTATAAGTAAGTATACTATTGATTGCTTATTTTAATAGAAAAAAAAAATGATGCAATAGATACGTTACAATATATGTAAAATTTTCTTATACGTGTTTAAGAAATTATGCTGTGGATAGAGAAGGTCGTAGTACCATAATAGCCGGTACTCCTGGACAACAATACGTCGATAATGTCTTCTTCAACCCTGACAATGATTACGAAATGCTTACGGTTAATAGGTCACTGTAAGTATTGAAAAAGCAGACTTTCGTAATGTTATAATATATTCTTAATTTATTATGATTTTTTTCCTTTCATATACGATTCTCGCATGTATAAAATATGTATGTATATCAGCGTTGTCGACATGGAATGGTATTATAAGTAAGTACACGAGTACAAAACAATTGTATTTTTCGTGTGCAAAGCTTACAATGTGAATCTTATGGCAAAGCAGTTTTCATTACGAATTGTCTCGTGAATCTTGGCTCTCCTTCTGTCGCTGTGCCTGAAAGCTTACAGCTTCAGTTATTGATAAAGCTTTTTATTGCTTCTATAAATGTTTGTCGAGATCCGTTTTCTCTTGCCAAATCACTGTAACGAATTGTGCTTAAGAAATGGTGTATAATACAAAATGAATTTTTCAACAGCCAACTGGAAATGTGGAGATCGCATGTGGATGCTAGACACAACTGGTGGGGATATAACGAGACTCTAGCAGTATCAGGAAGAATCCGGGACCGCGGAGATTCCCCTGAATTATTGCAAGTTGATTATCAACCATTCCACATGAACAATAAATCCGTATTAAATGGAAAGTGTCCTCCTGCTTGGGAACTGGTTGGCGACACTTGTTATATATACATTGGTGCTCCAATGGACTTCTATGGTGCACGTGACTTTTGTCGTGTAAGTTAAACTAATTTTCATATATTGAAAAATGTATGATTATTTCTAATATACCAATCGGTATTATACTTCTAGTCCGCCAATGCATCCATGCCCTTCATTATGGGTGATTACATAGAACTGTGGAAGTTCTTGCGTAGACAGCAGGAGCGTTTTGATTATTCATGGCGAGTTTGGGTCCAACAATTGGAACGAGTCGATCAGTGCACTATGTTTACGTATCAAACAATTGAGATTGATCACTGCAGTCAACCGAGTCCGTTCGTCTGTGAAATAGGTAATGCATTTGAAAATTTCATTAGTGTCTAGTTTTATAAAAAAAAAAAAAAGTAATTTTAAGAGCGAAATTAATTGTTGTCTTTCCCTAGATCCAAGAGTTAACATTGATCCATTGTCTTGGAGAAAGGACATAGTAGCAGTAGGAGTCCTCGGTGCTATTGGAGTAGCGTTAGCTCTTTTGGCGGCCGCCATCGGACTTTGGGTATCAAAATCAAAGAGAAGAAAAGTTGAACGATTAGACAGAAGAAACTCGATAAGACAATCGCTACACTCTTTGCGATCCGTTGGCTCCACTTCCGGTTTTACGGAATTAGCATACAGAAGAAAACCAGTTGCCGTAAGTGTTAACGTTTGTTTAATTTCTTACGTAATGTACCTGGGAGAGATAGTCTCGTAAGCTCACTATTTATAAGCTCACGTCACAGTAATTCGTATATATGGTATAGTCACTCTCCCGGGTAGGTCATATGACGAATTAACACTTATTCCAAATTAATTAACACGACTCTAATTGTCTATCCATACGAAAGCGGCCAAAACGGGAAAAAAGAGTGGTTCTGGTACCACCTATGAAGGTTAGACAATATTACAAAACTGAATGTTGTATGTAAACCGTGTTGCTCTGTCTACCTACAAGCTTCTTAATTATCATAAAATATCCTAGTTTCGTTAAAGTATATCCCTAGAATACTACTAGTAAACTACCACTTGTTATGATCATTACGAAACGCTTCCAAATAATCAGCCACATTCGGTATAAGGATCCAATAGGGATCGAAAAATGGTAAATGTGCAGCTTTCTCGTAACATACAAAACGGCACTTAATTGATTAAACGAAAACTACAATTTCAGACAAAACAGTCGACCGACACGCTGAACTCAAAGTCTCTGGATTACAAAAAGATGATGAACGGAGGTAGCATAGACAGCATGGACAAATCTCAACTGAATTCTTCCATGGAGGACAATCAAAGCTACGACGTCTACGAGGCGCACAATCCCCGCTACTCGCCAAGTACAAGTGAATTCAAGAGCACCAATCAAAAGTATCCAAGTGCTCAGGCAGATAATCCAGCGTTCGATTTAGCCTACCGCAACGAAGGCTTCCGAAATCACTCGACATTCACGTCTAGGAATAACAGCAATTGGCCGTCCGCGGCCAATAGCGAAGCTGCACCCGACGAGAGTCCTCCAGATCCAATTCACGATTCTTCATATCTAAACAATGCATCTACATTGCCTTTAAATTCAAGTATCGCGTTAACAGACTCAATAAGTGAGCTCAAACGGGATATAGAATCTACACCTGCATATACGCCAACCGAATACGGCACGTATGATACAACTCCATTGACTCCTGGCTCGGAACCAGTACCGGAGTACTTTAGTCCACCGCTTCCACATCCTTATTACTACGAGGAGCGACCCAGAAGCGAAGCCCTCTTAGAAACAAATCTTGACACTGCCGAGGAGAAGCCTTTAAGGTCAAAAAGTGAAGCATTACTTGAGACCAATTTCGATGTGTTCCTTCCTAACGAGCCGACGGAACTCACTCAGCTCTCTGCTGCTGCTAGAAGTAAAAGTCAGCCCCTAGAAACGGCTATGTAGAATGAAAGTACAAAAACAAAAGAATCCCCTTAGAAAGTTTTCCTAGTATCGGTTTGAATCAAACGAGGAAGTACATATTGTACATTTGATTTTTTATAGATACGCATTGTCAGTTCAACGTGAAAGTTATGTTATACGGTGTATTAATAAGGGGATGATAAGGTGATCGATAGTGCACGAAAGGAAGATTAATTAAGACTTCTTTGTGTTTTGTGACGTTTACTTTTTTTGAAAGATATATCCTTCAATTAGCGTCGTTTAACTTAACTGAGATTCTCTAGTGACAGATGAACATATGAAATATGATTGTTACAAATTTGGAGTCTTTGCTGGGAATCGCATCGGATTTTGTTTGACCTATTTAACGAAAATCTAGTTGAAGATAGCGACATACTCTTTCAGTATGAATGCCAGAATTTTTCTCTTTCTTTTTTTCTTCCTCTTCGTATACCACGTCAGATCAAGCAGCAATTATTTTTATTTACTTAAAAACATCAAATAATATCGATCGAGCCATTTCTGGTATTTACATTGATTCAGTATGTGGTTGATCATTGATTAGTTCGATGCACCACCGATCTCATTCTTTAATTATCACAGTCAGAACGAACATACAAAGTATCTAGTTCACATCTTAACGTTTAAGAATACAATTCATCAGTCTCATGAATCTATAATGAATTTTTCATCTATTTCTTTGTCGTCTATTCCTTTCGTTTTTCTCATTTTTAATATCACACTTTTGGATATGCGACTCGCCGTGGAACGTTCGCATATCCAAAATATCACACGCTTTGACATTTTACACTTTTTACGTGTATACCTGCTTCTCGGTGAACTCTTGCCAGAGATTCACCAGAAACAGAATATAAATATAATATCAGAATAGGTACGCTTCCCTAGGTTATCATCAAAATGACATTTCGACGAACCTCAATAAGTAGCGCACAGTAGAAAAAATCGAGCTTTTTCAGTACGGAATACAATAGGCGTATTTATTATTATTATTATTATTTCGTTAAGCGATTTTAAACTTTGTCTGTGGATGATTAGCACTATATTAGCTGACAGTTAAAGATTCATTAACGTGGACGCTCCCTTCCTCGTAGCTACGTCACTCACCGTTACTGACGAATGATTTTACTAATTATTCTAATTACGTTACCCGTTACACGAATCTAGAATGTATACATAGACATAATGAGATACACATACAGTACGACTAATCGCTGCTATTCATTGTGCAAGTTTTGCTTATCGTACACTGCCTAGATATACGACGAGAAATATGCCTCGCGACTGTTATGTAGACAAAAAAAGAAAAGAAAAAAGATTCATGCTAACAGCGAATCGTACGAGCCTGTTCGTGTCTTGTGATATAACTCGCGTTGTCATGTAAATGCGAGTATAAATTATGCGATTGCCAATCGCGATGTACTGTCTTTAAGAATTTGTATTGTGAGGATTTAGAACTGAGTATACTGCGAAGCAATGAATTCGTAATAAATTAGAGGATTTCCGTTAACTCATTCAACATCCAATTTAATTCCGGTTTCTTCTTCGTGGCACATTCAATTCTAAATCCTCGAATAGAACGGATGTAATCACTTTGTATAATTCATTAAGAATCTTTTATCTTAGTTTACTTAAGCTTAGTGCGTTTGTTATAATCATATAGCTTAGTTGACCTACAAGTCGTATAAAGTGTCCGCGTCCATGTAATTACAGTGTTATCCGTCCAGTAGACTTAAGTATTGATCACTAATCGAACTAACGATCGATTAGTAGATTCATTGGTTGTTATTATAACGAGGCATTGTAAGATACTCATCAGCCGAATTCAAATGACCCGCCACTCTTAGTGATTGACTGTATATTGTAAAAACTCGAATATAGAGCTTTCACTTGGAATGGCAATTCGAAAATAACGGCGACCATTGTAAATGAGGAAGCATATATGCATGCATCTGCGTATCAAAATATACCTATATACACGTAGATATAAGAAATACTTAAGTATATAGAATTAATACATTTTTTTTATACAAGTGTATTTATCATTACGCGTTATCATTGTTCAAAATGATTGTTGCTTCTCGTGAAAATGAAATTTTTAAGAATCCGAGTGCGAAGTATAATTGATTGAAAGTGAAGATATGACGGAGTTACGTATTAGAGAGTTTGTACTTACGTTCGTACAAGGATATATTTGTTGTAACGAAGCGAAACGTTAAAAATAAATGCTAATGATTCTTATAATCCTGACGTTACCCTTCGATGTCTCGTAATCGCGTGATATTTCGCATCGATATATCTAGAAAAATATTTCGAAAGAGTCATCGACAGTTTTCTAGAATAGTGCTTAGACGATTTTCATGGCCGGCACATGATATCCTGATAGGAAAACGTAAGAATTTCATTGGTAACTCCAGGAGGAGTATATTTCATCAATATGTTGAGCTCTTTCAGTGGCGTGGTGTCCGGATAGCAAAACTGAAAATTCGTCTAGTAACTTTCGCGTATATCAAGGAATAATCGTATCTCCTGGCACCTCCTGTTCTCCCGTTGTCGCAGCACGAATTCATCATTAGAAGATTGATAAACTGTCGCGGCTGATTCGATGCGAATCTGTATTATTATCGGTTTCTTCGTGTTTCCTGTCGTTTTGGTGCGCCTCCATGTAGGCGACCCGTCCATCGGTTAACGAGCAGTACGTCCGGGAACGTCGAGAATCGTCGAAAATGAATCTAACTATCAGGATATCATGCGCTGCCAGGGAGTCATTCGAATTGAGCGGGATAGCGGAACCGCAAACCTCTGCGACACCTCGTAGTGAAACATTAGCATTAACCGTTCTTCTCCCTCCAGTGATACCTATTGAAATACGTAATGGAACCTCTTCTACTGACGTATTGCCCTAATACGAGAGTTCATTTTCGACCGTTTTCTGCGCAGAGTCGCGTGACTGGCAGCTGTCCACAGGCTAGACTAAACGTATGTATATGGCTGCTTCTTGTTTTGTAAGTACCTTACAATGCAGTAAAACATATCTTTTAGGTATGCTTTGCACTTTTCTATAGATTTTCTGTATAGAAAAGTTAAATCTGAGAATATTCTTTGTTACAACAAGATTTTCATGCTTCTAAATAGAGTTACCGTTGCGCCAAGACTAATGAAAGTTTCATTTTATCTTCTGACATTTGAGTCAATGACTTGATAACTATTTTTTGAAAATTTATTTTGCATGCTGTATTTGGCGGTTTGTTTCGTGTTGGTTTACTGCCAGTCGCAATAGTTATTACTATTACGATGTAAGCATTTTCATCGAGGCTGTAGCTACTACGTTATTCAATCGAGAAATTTGTATTCTCTTTTTTAACTGTCCGATGAATCTTGTTGGAGGCCATCGTATATGACTTGGACGTTTGAACGATGACAGCGAGGATGCAGCACCATCTGGAAAAGTTTACCTGGAAATTGACGCACTCACTGGATAACGTAGAATGCGACTGACGACGGGGATGTACTACAGTTGGTAATTCAAAAAAAATATAAGGAACTGCGGAACTTTTTCTTTACCATACGAGTAAAAATAAGGGGATTTTGACATTCTTACTCGAAGTGGAGTTCTGCGTACATTCTGTAAGGTTAACAGTCATTTTAATACCACTTTCGCAATAATTAACCTAAAATTGAAAGAACAATCGAACACGAAAGTTTGTACGTCAATTTGATGTATGCGAAAAATTACGAGTCGAATTACTCTTCCAGTTGTGCCTACGAAATCAGTGATGTGCATGTGTAGTTGGGTATAACAGAATTAGAGGAACCATTAATATACCGTGCACAATATTTAGCAATCTCGTCGGAACCAGAAGAGGTAGTTTTTGGTTTATCCCGAATAATTTATCAGCTAATTAAAAACTTTTAAGTTTGATTAAATTAGAGTCGCGTATTTCCTGGTGACAGAACGAATATATGGCAATTTGTGGTTTTGGGCAATTGTGTAATTTCGACCTATTCTTTATATCGCCACATTTATCAGAGAATTGCATGGACGGCTGCTTAATGAGGTTTCATATATACAACCCATAATGCCCACGTAAACATCCGATCGAGTAATTATAAACGTATCTGGTATATAAGAAAAGCAAGTAATTTGTTACTCCTTATGCCATAAGGAAAATCACATAACTGACGCACAGAGGGTACGCTATAGTAAAAAAAATAAACGCGAAAAGAAATCGGACAAAACCAATGACACGTATTAATACTGATCATTGTACATAAACAATTTAAATTATTGATTGATTATATTGAATAAGTAATTGAATATTGTTTATTTTAGCACATAAATTTGGCGGGAACAAATGCTTGGCCGATCAATTCAACGGATACAAAATAACAGAGGTCGAAACATTGACAATTTTCGTATTCACATTAACAAATGATTATATAATTTTATTGAAAATATAGGCAATCGGTAATCTGAGTCAAGATGACGACGTGGCTGACACCGCGGGACTTCAGGCTGCTTATGAAGCTTATTAATCTTGTTCGCACTAATTCTCTACGAAAAGGACGCAGCAAGCGACGCTTTGGCGTCTCGCTGACACCATAGTATCCTCTCTGTTTCACGCACGGCCTGAGGTACGTAAATAATCCTGCACACTCTCCTTTCTTACCTTTACCACACGACGTCCACAAGCTGGCCACCATTAATGACGCTTATCTACATTCAAGATTACATTTTCTTTTAAAATTTGTATAATTTGTATAATTGTATTTGTATAACTTATATCCCATTAAGCAACAAAATCTTGTGATATCCCCCCAAAAAATATATACGCGTAAAAAACTATACCAAGTACAGAAGTGCTGTGAATCCTCTAAGAAGAATTTTGAAAATACCATTAAAATAATAGGCTAGAGCTAGATCATATAATAAGCAGATATGTATGTAATGACTTATATACTTGACATTAATAATATGATTTCAATATTTTTGTTAGAGGAATTCACAGCACTCCTTTACTTGGCATAATTTTTTACATGTAAGTGTTTAGGGGGGAGGGGGAGTATTTGTTGTTTTACAGAACTGGTGCATTTGCTTTTGAATTTATTTCAAGCATTTCGATGAGAGTATAGGTCGACTCAGGGTGATAGGATCGGTATCGAATACACCAGGTTTTAATGAAAATCAAATAATAACAGTCAAGAGGAGTGGGTCGAGTGTCCAGGTTTTGTGGTAACCTGTACTTTCCGCAGGATTGTAAAGAGGAACTATGCACAATTAGGTCCAGATGGGTTAAAGTGTTTAGGAGATAACAGGGAACGTACAGAGAAACGCTTTATTTCAAATCTTCGTGCTGCTTTAAAATAATAATATTTTTCTATTATTTTTTAATTCTTTACTATTTTCCTATTTATCAAATATGCCGCTATAACTTCATAACGATAAAAGAGCACCATATGCATAGTGCAACATTATTAATATAACAATTATTGGAAAGCAGATACTGTAGAATTTATCTTACAGCGCAATAGTACGCCAGCACAATAGTTTGCAATACCATAATGATTGGCCAGTGCTCCACGTAGGAGGTCGATATTAAAAAACAGAGAGATGTAAAAGTTCCCATGAATTCAGTAACGAATTGACAATTGACTTTAGTATTGAATTGATTAAACGAATGAATTCAGTTGGACGTTACGTAAGTGTCGTCATTCCTCATTAAGTCATTAGGTCATTATAAACTTGTACGCTGGACCGTAGCTATCCCTATCCATTGCAGAAACGGAACTCTTGGATGCGGAGGTCGTTTTTGGTTAGTCCCGTATCAGCTTTCAGCTAATTAAAAATATTAACGTTTCATTAAATTACAGTTGCTAATTTCCTGATGGGAGGACGGATATCGCAATTTGTGGTTTTGAGCATATCTGTAATCTCGAGTCACCTTAATGACAGAATCGCAAGGGCGGATATCTTAATCAGGTTTCGTACACAAAATTCATGATAATACCCATCTACGCAATCAATTAAATAATTACAAACATATCTAGTATGTTAGAAAAGCAAATAATTTGTTACCTATCCTATAGTATCATATAGTAAAGTTTTTTCTGTTCAAGAAGGTGAGCTACGTAAGCGATGAAACACAGCAAGATCACTGGGATAAGGGTTCCTTCTACGGGGTCGCTTGGATCTAACGCTATCATCTCCTAGGAAATCTGAGCAGTCACGGCTCAGCCCATCATTGCCCATCATTGTCGCCGGTCTTTGTGGGAACACAAGGATGGCGTTAAACCTTGATTAAAAATTGCGGTAGGTAGATGAAATGCAGTGTGCATTGTCTTTAGCCCAGAATGCGAGTGTTTCGGCGAGGGTCGCCAGGCAGCAGCATTGAAGCTTCCGTTCCTGTTGTGAAAAGAGGACGTAACTTTGCAGATTTATGGAATTGCGGAAAATCCTTTTAGGAGTATATTGCACATTCATAGCTTTATCATCGGGTAACAAATGAACCGGTATCTTATAATCTAACATGGAAATTGATGGAGTTGGAAGGTTTCTTGAACAAAATGGAAGCGGACGGGGACGCTTGACATGTCGTGGGGTAGAATTTCGCACGTGTCGGCCAGGAAGTTGCAGAGTTCTAAGGCTAGGTAACCGGATGAGAAGATTGTGGTCAGGCATTATCGTCGTCACAAAGCTTAAAAGTCATAGACGAGCTCCTCTGTTCACCTCAGTACGTTTCTGGTCCTCGAAGAATTCGCTTCTCAAAAACGTTCACAGAAATGTTACTGTAAGCTCATACGTATTTCTGCATTAATATTTGAATTATGACCTTTCGGAGAGTGTTTAAAATTTTCTAATTTTCAAAAAGACTTTATTACTTTTTACGCATCTTGCGATAATTTAGCTTCTCTTTTTTCTTAGTCGTAACTTATGTCTCTTTTATCTATGGCTCATTAATGTCGAATGAACGACTTTTTATTTACTTCACCTAATTCTTCATGCTTTTCTATGATATAGTATTTTCTAAGATATTTCATAATTTTTTATTTTTTGTTCCTTTCAGACTACACTCGATAATCTTCCTCGGGGCGCTACTCCTGTCTTCGAGAGCAAGCTCCAATCCGTATATCATTGTGGCACAGCCAGAACAAGAGGAATCTAATGACGTCCAGTGGATTTCTGAAAATTTTGGAGTAGAAGATCTTCCAGGAGAAACTGCTGATACAAAAGTTTGTCAAAGCGAAGAATGTCGCCGTACTGGTAGGTTCAAAATGTTTGAACATTTTCTTAAAATATCCTTTAAAGTTTCTACCTAAATTCCTGGATCCATATTTCGGCTACGTTACCGTTATTTATCATAAAACATTGCAATATTTTTTTGCGATATTTTCAAGAAAAAACGTGGTGCATGATTTAATTACACTTGACACTTTTATGTGCAGCCCAGGAATTCCTGAGGAATCTCAATAAGTCCGTTGATCCTTGCGAGGATTTTTACGAATATGCATGCGGCGGGTGGAGTCAACGTAATCATATGCCGGCTAAGGAAAGGATCTGGAATCAATTGACAAAAATCGAGAGATGGAATAAGAAGCGTATACGAGGTACAGGCACTAATTAAGAAAATAATGGAAGGAAAGTGCTTAAACAGATGTGACACAAGAAACGAATAAATTGTAAGTTATTGACTTTAGGAATCCTAGAAGAACCAGAAGAGGACAGTGACCTTACAGCTGTAAAGGCCGCCAAACGATTTCACCAATCGTGCATGGACTTAGGTATGATCGATCACTTATTAGTTATTATATTAGGGAGATCGCAACCAATCATCGGATCGATATTAATCATTCGACTTTTCAAGATCTTCTGTGTTCAATGTTAGATCATTAGTAAATGTGGACAGACTCTACTGGCTGCACACATCCTAAGGCAGTGACAAAGTGTGTTGAAAAAGTAACTTGCTAATATACTATTTTTTTTTAATATTAACAAGATTGTTAGATTCGAAACATCTGCTAATCGATATCGGATAAAGTTCCGAAAACCGCATACCTCCAAAATATATGATTTTTTGTATTTAGCCTTTTTTTGACGAGCTGATGACGAATATAATAGTGAAAATACCCGCAGAATCAATTTTAAAAAATGACTATTTTTCAAAAAAACACTCTTTTGATATTTTTTAAATAAATATTGATTTTAGAGAAAAAAGTTTTAAGTAAAAATTGTAGATTGTACAAAAATACATCTTTTGTGTCCTAGGCATTTTCATTGTAAAAGTATTATTTTTCGAGAAAAATGAGATAATGTTAAATGAGCGAAAAACGTCACTCACAAGTATCCTCCCTAATCTAACAAAGCAAAACCAAACCAAACCAAACGAAACCCAAGTGATCGAAATCAGTTGTAACCGATTAAGGTTGTCTGCAACCTGCACTATTCGATCCCGTCGCAACACAGCATTTACAACCCTCGGAGAAACTCGAAACAATCACAAGATCGCTAGTAAGCACACAAAACAGTTTAAATTGAAATATTTCAAACTTCCAAAGTTCAGTATCAGCTTCCGCGTCAGATATTTTAGCTAGTCGCTCTAATTACTGTTATATTGAAAATAATAGTTTCGTTGAAAAGCGATACTTCGTATATTTCGTTTAGATTATTTAAATTACACAGATCATTAAACCTCAATGATAATGAATTAAATTTATAACGTCTTTACGTTAAGTCCAATTTTACAAGATCGCAAGGACACTCTTCAATAGTTACGCGACATGGAACTAATCCCAAATACAAGATACTGTTCAACACGCAAAAAAGCGTGAAAAAATACGAAAAGGAAAAATTGTACTTTAAAATCAAAATTCCAACCTTCCCACAGTAACAAAGTCTATCAATCATAATTTCTACATGATCTATTACGATTCCTTTCTACGAATATTTGTTTCTCTGAAGATTATCTCATTTTTCTCGAAAACTAATAGATTTACAATAAAAATATATGTAGGACATAAAAGATGTAACTTTTTACAGTCTACAATTTTTACTTAAAACTTTTTTCTCTAAAATCAATGCTTATTGAAAAAATGTCAAAAAAGTTTTTTTTCAAAAACAGCCATTTTTTACATTGATTTTTCGGGTATTCTCGCTATTATATTCGTCATCAGCACGTCAAAATACGGCAGAATACAAATACAAATTTTTGAAGGTATGAGGTTTTCGGAACTACAGCCTCGATATCTGCGTGAATTTTATGATTAGAAAATGATCAGCTGTGGTCTGTGATAACGCATGTTTGGTAGTACTGAAAAGTACGAATGCACTTTGACATTACCTAATACCTGATTTTGATTCTAGACGCCATTGAAAAACTTGGAATAAAACCGCTGGAACAGATTCTGGAAGCAAACGGCGGATGGCCAATGATTATGGAAAAATCGGAATGGAATAGCAGAAACGTATCCTGGAAGAAGATTCATGAAAATTATCATCTATTAAGCAGAAACGCAAGTTTGTTCACTGTGTGGGTAGACGCAGATTTACATCGAAATGTTAATGTCATAAAGGTTAGTATAAATTATGATTTAGTTGATTCAGTTAGATTAACCACCTTCGATTCTCAAATATAATAATTATCTAAGATTTACTTACTGTGGGATGGGTATGGTATGCTTATGGTATCAACCAGGTGTGGTTGACTTGCTTATGCAATTTTCTAAATTGAGAAAGTTTCATGTAACTTAAACATTAATGAAGTATGACATTTAATAGCTGAAGCAACGCACTCCAATGTTCCCACTCGATATGCAATTTGCTCTTGAAGAAGGTCGAAACGCAAGATCTTACTATGCTAAATATGTGGAGGATGTTGCATTGACTTTTGCTAAGTCCAGAAATTCGAATGTGAGTCGGAAACGAATATCCAAGGACATTGCAGATATGATTGACTTTGAGGGATATTTGTATGAGGTATTTTATCATTATTTTGTATTATTGTGATTCTTTCGCCTGGGTATCCGTTAAATTGTTGTAACATTTTTTAGCTCAGCTTTTACATGCCAAATGATTATTCTTTTATAAGTTCTACGGACTCACTGCACGAAATGTACAACGAAGAATTAACCAGAAGTGGAAAGGCAGAGGTAACGAAATCTTTGAGCCATTCAATTATTCATTGTTCTCATGTGTTACTAATTTGTGCAGATAAACTGGTTGAAAACTTTTCAAAATTTGTTTGGAGATGTCGGCATTCGCGTAAGAAAAACAGATACGATTCTGCTTTCAAACCCTGTTTTCATTAGGAGACTTGCTCATATCCTTGAAGAAACTTCTAAAAGAACGATCGGTATAGTTTCTGAAATAAATACTGTAAAGTACATCAATTATAATTTCGCTCACGCATTCAGTCTAAATATGTAAACATTTCTTTCAGTCAACTATCTTCATTGGAAATTTGTGAGCGCGATGATGCCCTACACAAATAAGAAAATGAGGAACATGAACTATTCACTGAATAAGTTTATTTCCGGTGTCACGGAACAAAAACCACGGTTCGTATCTGACTTTTCTTCTGCACTTTGCACAACGCGCAGTGATTAATACGCTGCGTTTTTATCAACATTACTATTCTGATTGTTGTTCCTTGTGCGCATTCTGACATCTGATGTTGGAAATGGAAACTAAAAGAATCACGTTGATTGTCAGTTCAGTTAACGTTTATTACGTTTGCAGATGGGAGGAGTGTATTTCAGAAAACCCAGTGAAAGATGCTCTGTCGTATCAGATTGTACATAAATATTTACTGAAAAAATCAAAAGAGAAGGTGAATCTTGAAGATCATGGGAGATTATACTGTCGAATGTAAAATAATTTATTTATCTTGATTTAAGGTTCTGGATATGGTTAAAGAGATTCAAGATCAAGCCGAAATTAAAATTTCGAACACCAATTGGCGGGATAAATCTGAGGCTAAGAAGGGACTTTGGAATACAGCGAAATTCATTGGTTTTTCTGATTGGTTCAATAATGCTTCAGCAAGTATTGAGTTTTACAAGGACGTGAGTATCGTGGTTTTTGATAATTGTCTTTTTCGTTATTTTTCTTTTAATTATCGACATTTGCAGCTGAGAGTGGGACCGTCATACTTTGATAATATATTAAACTACAACAAATTTACATTGAGAAAAAATTTGAAAAAGCTGCGACAACCGATAGACAACACGTAATAAAATTTGATTTTATCTTATAAAGGATGAATTGAATATTTCTGCGAATTGAATTTTTTTATTGCAGATGGCTGGTAGATCCTTTTACAGTGAACATATATCGTGACTTTATTAAAAATTCTTTAAGTGAGTTGAATTATTTAATAACGTATTTGATTCGATTATTCGATAAAAAATATTTATTGCGTTACAGTATTCCCAGCGGCGGTCCACCAACTTCCACTATTCGGTGCATCTCGGCCCAAGTAAACGAGTTTCAATAACTATATACGGCTTCCATACATTTCAGAAATGTTCACAATTCCTATTATTTCAGCGCTGTTAATTATGGAGCAATTGGAACTATAATTGGCCATGAATTACTTGAACCCTTCATAGACTACGGTATTACAGCACTATTAGGGGAAAGGTGTCTGAGAAGTCATTTGTTTTTTCGTGTTATTCGCTATGCTGTCTCAGACATCTTTTCCCTATATTTACGTAAACAAGTTAAATTTTGTTTCTAACAAATAGTTGGTGATTGTCTATTTTAGGAAATACGATCCTCGAACACGTGTGCTATCTGGCAAATTTGATCAACTACGAGAAAAAAGTGTTCGAAACGTTAAACGTTACTGATTATGTACGTATTCACAAGACACACTTATAAATTTCTCTCTTACAGACAATAACGAATGATCATTGAATTTTATGGAAAATGTAGGAGGAATCTTACATAATTCATTATGGAACTATCATTGACAACGCAGGACTTCAGACTGCTTATGAGGCTTATCAGAGGAAGTTAGCAGCCGAAAGAATAACAGAGGACAAACTTCCAGGACTAGAGAATTTCAGTAGTGGACAAATCTTTTTCTTGTCTTTCGCCAACGTAAGTATATAGAAAGAAAACAAATTTTGAAAAATAACACAATTAAAGACAAGGCAAAAGAGAATAATCGTTTCTACCGATCTGCGTATAGAAGTAGATACGAATAGTAGAGCAACTTTACTTACTGCTGTGGCCGCAAAAGAGACGAAAGAAAAAAACGAGAATGAACCGACCATAGCTAATTAGGTTCAGTATGTATCGCGTGGCCGTATGTTATTTAAACATTCAACTAGGAAAGAAACGAGTGCTTGAAAATATCTTTGGTTTTTTACCAGCAGTTATATAATTTTTTGATTCCGATTTCTTTGTATTTTGATTAGATATTTTCTAAAGCGATTAATCTGGTTGTTCCAGTCATCAGCCAGTGTATCAGTAATTGACAGTTGTGTTATAATATTATAGATTTTGGTATAGTCAAAGCACATCCACCTTAGGACATCCTACTTACCTACCGAGAATTCTTCGGGACTCTTTATACATATCTGGATTGTTCTTAACTCTTTGTTGTTTTACAGAATTGGTGCGAATCCTTGAAACGGGAAAAGCCTTTCGATAATGACCTAACAAGTCAAAAAATAAGTGTAGGACGACTGAGGGTGATTGGATCTGTGTCGAATACACCAGAATTTAGCGAGGCATTTCAATGTCCTAAAGGAAGACCAATGAATCCTGAATATAAGTGTACTTTTTGGAAACGGTAAAAACAATGTAAACGCGAACTGCCTTTGATTCATGTCGGATTTCCCAGTTGCTGCATTGAAAACTATCTTTTCATACTAATTACAAATATTACTAGTATTATAATTTCATGTACCTAATATGAATTAATACTAACTAACTATTGCATTTAACGACTGTTAAATTTACTTATTTCCTAACCTACATTAGCCGGCATAGCCTGATTCTCTTAGATCCAGAACATGTGGAAAATCAAATAATAACAATCAAGAGGTCCACGTCCTGTAGTAACCAGTACTTTCCGCAGGATCACAGGAAGTTCCTATATACGATTAAGTCCAGATCGGTTAAAAGTTTAAGAAGGCAATAGAGAACGTACAGTGAAACGTTTCATCTCGAATCTCGGTGCTGTTTTGACATAATAAAATTATAATTTTATAATTATTTTATAATTTTTTTAATTCTTTACTATCTTCCCATATACCAAACATGCCGTTATAACTTTGTAGCATTGATAAGCAGATCAGTCGTAGTGTGAATGATAAAAGAGCGCCATATGCACAGTGCAAAATTATTAATGCAGGGATTATTGGAGAGCAGATGCTGCAGAATTGTAACGGCAGCACGAGAGTTCGCCATGCCATACCGACTGGCCTATGCTCCACGTAGGCGTGCACGGTCGATATTAAAAAAGAAAAAACAGAGAGAAGCAAACATTCCCATGGATTAAGTAATGCGCATGCGCAGTTGGATGTTACGAAATTAGAGGAAACGCCACACTACATTTTTAGCAGCGTTGCCATTCCTCATTAAAAACTTGTATTTTGGAATCTAGTTATCCTTATCAATTGCAAAAACGCAATACTCGGAAGCGGAGAAGGTTGTTTTTGGTTATTCCCGTATCAGCTTGTAGCTAATTAAAAATGTTAACGTTTAATTAAATTAGAGTTACTTATTTCCTGATGGCAAGACGGATATCGCAATTTGTGGTTTTTGGCAATTTGGTAATCTCGAGTGACCTTAATTGCAGAATCGCAAAAGCGGATACTTTAATGAAGCTTCGAACACAGAATCCATGATGATACAAGTGTAAAATACCATCAAATAATTATAATCGTATCTGGTGCATAAGGAAAGCAAATAATCTGTTACCCCTCGTGCTATAAGGGTAATCAGGTAACCAACACTTAGACGGTACTCTATAGTAAAGTCTTTCCAATTTCAGAAGAAGAACTTCGTAAGGGATGGTACAGAGCAAGATCACTGCGACAAGAGTTGCTCCATCAAGCCCATCATTCTCCCAGGTCTTTGTGGGAACACAGGGATGGTGTTGAATCTTTATTAAAAATTACGGCAGGTAATAAAATGCAGTGTGCATTGTCTTTAGCCCAGAATGCGAGTGTTTCGGCGAGGGTCGCCAGGCAGCAGCATTGAAGCTTCCGTTCCTGTTGTGAAAAGAGGACGTAACTTTGCAGATTTATGGAATTGCGGAAAATCCTTTTAGGAGTATATTGCACATTCATAGCTTTATCATCGGATAACAAATCAACCGGTATCTTATAATCTAACATGGAAATTGATGGAGTTGGAAGGTTTCTTGAAGAAAATGGAAGCGGACGGGGACGCTTGACATGTCGTGGGGTAGAATTTCGCACGTGTCGGCCAGGAAGTTGCAGAGTTCTAAGGCTAGGTAACCGGATGAGAACATTGTGGTCAGGCTTTATCGTCGTCACAAAGCTTAAAAGTCATAGACGAGCTCCTCTGTTCACCTCAGTACGTTTCTGGTCCTCGAAGAATTCGCTTCTCAAAAACGTTCACAGAAATGTTACTGTAAGCTCATACGTATGGCTGTATTAATATTTTGAACAATGAGTTTTCGGAGAGTTTTCTAAATTTTCTAAATTTCAAGACCCTTTTAGAACGTTGTAGGCATTGGACTTTATTACGTTATACGTATCTTGTGATAATTCAGCTTCTCCTTTTTGTTAGACGTAATTTATGCCTTTTATCCATGGCTCATTAATGTCGAATGAACAACTTTTTATTTACTTCACGTAATTCTTCATGCTTTCCTATGATATAGTATTTTCCAAGATATTTCATGATTTTTTATTTTTTATTCCTTTCAGACTACACTCGATAATCGTCCTCGGGGCGCTGCTCGTGTCTTCGAGAGCAAGGTCGAATCCGTATATCATTGTGGCACAGCCAGAACAAGAGGAATCTAATGACATCCCGGGGCTCTCTGAAGAAGTTAGAACAGAAGATTTGGTAAAAACGAATGATGCAAAAGTTTGTCAAACCGAAGAATGTCGCCTTATTGGTAGGTTTAAAATCTTTCAGGGTTTTCTTAAAATATCCTTCAATAATTAAGAACCTCATTTCCTGGATCCATATTTCAGCTACGTTGCCATAATTTATTATGAAACAGTGCAATATTCGTTTTTTCGATATCTTGATGAAAAATCGTGAAGCGTCACTGAACTATCCTTTACGATTTTATTTGCAGGCCAGGAATTCCTGAGGAATCTCAATAAGTCCGTTGATCCTTGCGAAGATTTTTACGAATATGCTTGCGGCGGATGGCGTGCAAATAATCCCATACCAGTCACTGAATCCAGTTGGAATCGATTCAGTGTAACTGCGAAGTCGAATGACAAGCGTATTCGAGGTGCGGACAGTAATTTAGAAAATAGAAATTTGTATGTGAAGTGCTCAGAAAAGTGTGATACGAGAAACGAATGAATTGTACATTTTTGATTTTAGCAATCCTGGAAGAACCAGAAGAGGACACTGACATTGCACCTGTAAAGGCCGCCAAACAATTTTACCGATCGTGCATGAATTTGGGTATGATCAATCAGTTATTATATTTAGGAGATTGCGACCAATCATTGAATGATATTAATCATATGACTTTTCAAGGTCTCCGATGTTCAATGTTATATGATTAATTAATGTAGATAGACTCTATTGGGTCTTTTGAAAGTATTCGAATGTTCCATATCATATAGGTATTATGTGCAGACACTATTGGCTGCATACATCCTGCTACAGTGATAAACTGTATTGGGAAAAGAACTTGCTGATATATTATTTCAATAGGTATTCGCGAGATTGGAGCGAATCGAATTATCTACTAATTGATATATCCGTGAATATTATGATCATAAAGTAATTAATAGTGATTTTTGATAAGACGTATTTGACAGTAGTGAAGATTCATAATGAATTTTTTTTATTATTTAATATCTGATTTTCATTTTAGAGGCCCTTGAGGAAATGGGACTGAAACCGTTGGAAATCATTCTGGAAGAAAACGGAGGCTGGCCAATGACTAGGGGATCATCGGAATCGAAGAGCAGTGAAATATCCTGGCAGCAGATTCATGACAATTATTCTCGAATAAGAGGACAAGCAATTTTATACAGTTTTAGAACGCGGAAGATTTCGAACAATGTTTATAGGTTTGTGGTTAGTATGAATTTTTATTCAGTTGATTCACCTCAATTAACCATCTTGGATATTTATTTATAATACTTATCTAAGATATGTTCACTGTAAGATCGGACGGTTCAGTTGTGGTTAACCTGCTGCTGAGGTTCTATGAACTGAGATAGTTTCATGTTATTTGAAGATTAACGAACTTTGGCATTTAATAGCTGTCGCCGGCGAATTTTATCTTACCACGATCAATGCTGGTTCGTCACAAACAATATAAAACGCAAACATTGGCCTACGCTAAATACGTGGGGGAAGTTGCACTGGCATTTGCCAAGTCCCGAAATTCGCATGTGAGGTTGAAAGAAATATACAAGGACGTTGCGGACTTGATTAATTTTGAAATAAAATTGGCTGAGGTATCTTACTATTATTTCTTTATTCTGATTCTGGTATCCTGGCAGCCATTAATTTCGCTTTTATTCATTTAGATGAAATTCCCGAAAAACATGCGTCTTATTCCTATTTCTAGGCTAAAAACAATTTACTATAGTAAACGACGCACCAGTGCAAATAAGGAGGTAACAAAGTCACTAAGTAATTCAATTATTCGTTGTTCTCATATGCTATCAATTTATTTGCAGATAGACTGGGTAAAAAGTATAAAAATTTTGTTTAATGAGGCCAACATTCAAGTGAGAGACACAGACATGGTTCTGTGTCCTGACAAACAATATTTTTCGAAGATTATTGGGGTCCTTCAAAAAACTCCAGAAAGGACAATCGGTATAGTTTCGAAATAAGTACTTAAAAATAAATCAATTGTAATTTTACTCACGCTTACAGTCTAAATCTTCAAATTTTTCTCTCAGTTAATTATCTTCATTGGAGATTCGTAAATGTTATGCTTCACTTTACAAATGAGAAAATGCGGAATTTACTCTTTGAGTTCCGCAGGACTTTATTTGGTACCGAAAAACAGCAACCAAGGTTTGTAACTGACTTTTATTGTGCAGGTCACAGAATGTGCAGTCATTTATTTATTGCGTTTTTAGTATTGTAATTATGTTTGACGCTGCTTATACGCGTCTTCTGACATCTGGTGTTGAAACTCGAAACTACGAGTTTTGCGTTGCCTGTGGGTTCAAGTAAAGCTTATGAAATTTGCAGGTGGCAGCAGTGTGTTTCAGAAAACCTGTTGAAGGATGCCGTGTCTTATAAGTTTGGACAAAAATATTTTTCGAAAGAGTCGAAAAAGAAGGTGCGTGTCTTGAAGATCCTGAGTGATTATACTGTCGAATGTTAAATAATTTATTTATCTTTATCGAAGGTTTTTGAAATGGTTAAAGAGATTAAAGAAAAAATTGAAATTGAAATTTCCCTTGCCAATTTCATAAATAATGATACTAAATCCGAGGCTATAAGGAAACTTAGGGATATAACGCTATTGATTGGTGTTCCTGATTGGTACACTAATGTTTCAGCAATTGTGGATTTTTACAAGAGCGTGAGTACTGCCGTTTCTGATAATTGACACTTTCTATCCCTTTTATTTAATTTACCGACATTTGCAGCTGGAAGTGGGACTATCCTACTTTCATAACGTGTTAAACTACAACAATTTTTTAATGAAAAAAAATTTGAGCAAGATGCGACAACAGGTGGACTACACCGAGTGCGTTATAAAGTCTAATTTTATCTTGCAAAGTGTAAATTTAATAATTTATTATATTTTGTATTGCAGATGGTTTGTTGACCCCACTACAGTGAATGCAGCTTATAATCCCTTGGACAATTCTATCAGTGAGTTAAATATTCATAAATGCATTGACCATTCGATTATTCAATAAACACTATTTATTGTGTTGCAGTACTTCCAGCGGCGATCCTTCAACCTCTATTTTTCAGTACATCTCAGCCTAAGTAAACCAACTCCAATAATTTCATACATTTTGGAAATGTTCACAATTTCTATTATTTCAGCCCTGTCAATTATGGAGGAATCGGAACCTTGATTGGCCATGAGATATCGCACGCTTACAATAAATTCGGTAATAAAGTGAGAATATTGTGTTCGTGACCAAATAATATTTTGACCAAAATCAATAATCGCAGGTTATCGATTTTAGAACGTGAACATAACAGGAACAAGTGCTTTGTGGATCAATTCAACAAATACCGTATAAAAGAGCTCGAAAAATTTAACGATACAAATTTTGTACGTATTCACTGGACATGCTTATAAAGTTTCTCTCTTATAGACAATAGCGAAAGATGATTGAATTTTTTTGAAAATTTAGCAAATCGGTGAAATAACTCAAGATGAAAATATTCCTGACAGCGCAGGACTTCAGGCTGCTTATGAAGCTCATCAATCGAAATTAGCAGCTGAAGGAATAATAGAGAACAAAGTTCCAGGACTGGAGGATTTCAGTAGTCAACAAATCTTCTTCTTGTCTTTCGCCAACGTAAGTAAATACGAAAAATAATACAATTTCAAGGCAAATCCAAAGGCAACTGTTCCTGCTGATCTGCGTAGAGAACATCCGCTGCTCTCTTGAATACCGTTGAAATAACTTTACAAACTGCTCTGGTCGCGCAAGAGATAAATGAAAAAAAAAAAATAATAATAAACCGACCATAGCTAATTAGGTTCTTAACTCTTTGTTGTTTTACAGAATTGGTGTGAATCCGTAAGGCCGAAACGGCTTTCCTATGATATACTAACTCGTCAACACACTATAGGCCGACTCAGGGTGATTGGATCTGTGTCGAATACACCAGGATTTAGCAAAGCATTCCAATGTCCTGCAGGAAGCCCAATGAATCCTGAGGTTAAGTGTACTCTTTGGGATTTATAAAAACAATGTAAACGAGAACTAGCTTTGATTCATGTCTGATTTCCCAGTTGATGCAAGGAAAACTATCTTTTCATACTACTTACAAGTTCTTGTACCCAACACGTATTATTACTAACGGACTATTGCACTTAACGACTGTTAAATTTATTTATTTCCTATCCTACACTAGCCGGAATAGCCAGAGTTTCTTAGATCTAGAACATGTGAAAAATCAAATAATAACAATCAAGGGGAGTGCGTTTGGAGTCCAGGTTCTGTAGTAGCCAGTACTTTCCGCAGGATCACAGAAAGTTCCTATATACGATTAAGTCCAGATCGGTTAAAAGTTTAAGAAGGCAATAGAGAACGTACAGTGAAACGTTTCATCTCGAATCTCGGTGCTGTTTTGACATAATAAAATTATAATTTTATAATTATTTTATAATTTTTTTAATTCTTTACTATCTTCCCATATACCAAACATGCCGTTATAACTTTGTAGCATTGATAAGCAGATCAGTCGTAGTGTGAATGATAAAAGAGCGCCATATGCACAGTGCAAAATTATTAATGCAGGGATTATTGGAGAGCAGATGCTGCAGAATTGTAACGGCAGCACGAGAGTTCGCCATGCCATACCGACTGGCCTATGCTCCACGTAGGAGTGCACGTAGAGATCTTAAGACGTGGAGTCGATATTAAAAAGAAAACAGAGAGAAGCAAAAGTTCCCATAAATTCAGTAATGCGCATGCGCAGTTGGATGTTACGAAATTAAAGGAAACGACACACTACATTCTTAGCAGCGTTGCCATTCCTCATTAGAAACTTGGACGTTGGAACGTAGGTATCCCTATTAATTGCAGGAACACAACTCTCGGATACGGTGGAGGTTGTTCTTGGTTAGTCCCGTATCAGCTTGTAGCTAATTAAAAATTTTAACGTTTCATTAAATTAGAGTTACGTATTTCCTGATGGCAAGACGGATATCGCAATTTGTGGTTTTTGGCAATTCTGTAATCTCTAATCACCGTAATCGCAGAATCGCAATAAGAATGGTCAGGTGACTGACGCTTAGAGGATATCCTATAGTAAAGTCTTTCCTATTTAAGCAGAAAAACTTCGTAAGGAATGGCACAGAGCAAGATCACTATGACAAGGGTTCCTCCTGCGGGGTAACTTGGATCTAACGCTATCATCCCCTAGGAAATCTGAGCAGTTACGGCCGATGATCAATAAACAATGTTAAAGGCAAACAATGGCCCACGCTAAGTACGAGGAGGAAGGTGCACTAGCATCTGCTGAGTTCCGAAATTCGAAGTAATATTCAAAGACGTTGCGGATTTGCGGATTTGCGGATTTTTAATTTTAATTAGCTGAGGTCTTCGTCTTTTACTATTATTTCTTTGTTCTGATTCTGGTATCCTGGCAGCCGATAATTTAGCTTTTATTCTTTTTTAGATCAAATTTCTGGAAATATTGAAATACCTAGATTTCATTACTATTCATGTGCTACAAGAATTGTGATCTATGGAACGGCAAACAACTTGGGCCCCGACCCACTGAGCAAGCTCAGCGGATTAGACCCCCGATGCCATTCTATACGTACAGCTACTGTAACAGGGTGACTACTCATATGAATATGCTCGACCCGACCAAAGAAATAGGACAAGTAAGACAAGCATAATGGGAAATTGGAGGGAAGAGAGTGGAACGAGAAGACAGAAAGGAAAATTCTTTCTTTGAAATTTAAATTACAATTCAATTTTTATCTACTCCGTATGTTTTCCAAGATTTTCATTGAACCATAATTTTATGTCTTGAATAAATTTCGAAAGTAAGGACACGTTCGACCAAGCACAAACCTGTAACTAGTTCGGGGCTTCTCCGTCCTGGTGCCGCTTCAACACCAGAATACACATGCTTTAGAGTGCCATCCGATATAGATCCATGCATCTCACGGAGCTCACAAATTTCACGCGTAGTATACGTATATATGTTGTCACGTGATTTTTCTAATCACGGTCCCAAGGCGGCATCGGTTACCGATACAGATAACTTTCTGGATTTCTGGTTCCCTTCGGGTCGCCACCCTGCTCAGAAGCTACGCTCTCGGGTTGATTCGTATAGTTATGTCAAGGCTCTCGTAAGATTTCGTTATTGTTTAGTTGAGGTCGAGGTGCTCGAATCTGCCGTGGGGAGATAGTCTCGACGTACCGAGTTGCCCGGCAGAGGAGAGTACCCGACGGAGACGTCTCCACGGACCGGCAGAAGCCCGGGTGAGATACCGGCGCCCCGCTGGAGATGGGCAAAGGGCTGTAGAGCGGGCGGAGGAAGTTTTGTTACGGTTAAGGGCAGGAGAGGAACCTCCTGCCCGAGTTAAGGGTGTGGTGCCCAGCTGTCGTCCGATGCCCTGGGGAAGCGACCGTGGAGGATCTCCAGGAGTTACGTACCGATTCGTTAAGGAACGCTTTTGATTTGGTTTAAAGGGACGACTCGAAGGAGATGGAAGAGTTATCGGTTACAAGGCTCTCGACCAATCAGAATGATTAGTTCCCGAATATGGCATTTGGCTATTGTCAAAGCAGTCTGTCTCGGGGCACCGAACAAGGTGTCACGGGCTGGCTCGTGCTCCCGTGCTATCTCTTGATAGTTTTTCTTGCCGTGTTTCGCTACGGTATAGCAAGTTCTCGATTCGTACAGTTCTCGCGTTGTTCTCGCGATATCCAGGAATTCTATGAATTCCTGTGAGTGTTACGGAGGTGTAGTGCTGTGCCCTAGTGCAGTGCTCACCAGTGTCCTTTGGATACAGTTCTCGGCCTCCACGCATTAGCTGCACCAGCTCCGGTGAGGACTCTCAATTTATTGATTGGTGAAGGGATCTCGATTGACAATTAAGATTCGTTCTGATACGTTCTCGATTCGTCGCTCTCTGTCGCTCGCACTATTTGCCGGACTCTTACTCCGACCCTCTCTACCTCAAACCTAGCAGCCTGAGAGGCCGTGCATTTCCGTAACCGTCCGCTCCCGTCCGTGTATCCAGTTGCGTTTGCTGATTTTACGCGACCCCAAAGATCAGCACCTACGGTTGCGTTTCTCGATTTTACGCGTCCCCAAAAATCGACAGGATCCGTTAAGCTATCGCCTCTTCTGATAGGTTCCGTCAGAGCTCTCGTTCTTGGTGGAGTTGGGCCTGTTCCACCCCAACTCCCAGTTTATACCGGCTCGTCAGTTCCCGGTGAAAAAAAGAATTGACTGGCGCCCGCCTGGCTTACGGATGCACGAACGACGGGTGGACGGCCGAAGGTAACGTACGTTGGTTCTCGAAGATAGTCGTTCCCGTATGTCGGTGTCGGGTCAAGTTAAAGAAAATTACGTTACAATATATTCGCGTTGTTCTCGCGATATCCAGGAATTCTATGAATTCCTGTGAGTGTTACGGTGGTGTAGTGCTGTGTCTTAGTGCAGTGCTCACCAGTGTCCTTTGGATACAGTTCTCGGCCTCCATGGATTAGCTGCACCAGCTCCGGTGAGGATTCCCGATTTATTAATTGGTGAAGGGATCTCGATAGACGATTAAGATTCGTTCTGATACGTTCTCGGTTCGTCGCTCTCTGTCTCTCGCACTATTTGCCTGATTCTTATGCCGACCCTCTCTAGCTCAAACCTAGCAGCCTGAGCGGCCGTGCATTTCCGTAACCGTCCGCTCCCGTTCGTGTATCCAGTTGCGTTTGCTGATTTTACGCGACCCCAAAGATCAGCACCTACGGTTGCGTTTCTCGATTTTACGCGTCCCCAAAAATCGACAGGATCCGTTAAGCTATCGCCTCTTCTGATAGGTTCCGTCAGAGCTCTCGTTCTTGGTGGAGTTGGGCCTGTTCCATCCCAACTCCCAGTTTATACCGGCTCGTCAGTTCCCGGTGAAAAAAGAATTGACTGGCGCCCGCGGATCAGGATCAGGATCTGTCAAGCTATCGCCTCGTCTGATAGGTTCCGTCAGAATTCTCCTGTTAGTGGAGTTGGGCCTGTTCCACCCCAACTCCCAGTTTATACCGGCTCGTCAGTTCCCGGTGAAAAAAGAATTGACTGGCGCCCGCCTGGCTTGCGGAAGCACGAACGACGGGTGGACGGCCGAAGGTAACGTAGGTTGGTTCTCGAAGATAGTCGTTCCCGTATGTCGGTGTCGGGTCAAGTTAAAGAAAATTACGTTACAATATATTGGACGGCCGAAGGTAACGTAACCTATCTCGAAGATAGTTTGTTCTCGGATGTTTTGCTATCGGTGTCGAGTTAAGGTAAAGAATTACGTTACAACGTATATACTCGATTAATCAAAAACGTGGGTATGGTTCGACGGCTCGCCGCTCAAGTCGCGCTTCAACCCCAAAATAAAATTGGTTTCAAGAAAATCGGCCCACTGGCAATCTCCCTACTAATCTCTATTAGAAACACACCTAACCTAGAAGCCGAAAATTGAAAACGAAAAAGGCAAAACAGAAAATAAAAAATCATGACCAAAAACTATATTTTTTAAAAATCCAAATCGAAATCTATTAAATTTCGAAAACCGAAACTGAGAACCGTAAACGAAAAATGATGAATGAAAAACTCAAAACTGAAAAACGAAAACTAAAACCAAAATCAAGCTTTCACCATTGTGAAAACCGTAACCGAACCGATATTTCTTTCGGTTGCAGCCTCTTTTAAAAACATACAATTTTATCTTTTGACGCTAACTACCCGACAGTGCTCTCGTGACGTGGATTCTCATAAGATATGGTTCACAAGGTATGTCAGACTCATGCGATACGGAAGATTCAGGATGCCTAGTCTAGTTATCTTCAGTCAACATGAACAAGGTAACTTAATGCTCAGTCGGTATTATCAACGCAAGATATATGTAGATGTCGCCATTAGTATCAACATTTCGAGTGGGACCCCATTCTCCACAAAATAACTGTACACGTACTTAAGGGGATACCAGACTTCTTCTTTACCATGCGAGTAGAATGTCATCGAAAATTGTAAATCACAGAATTTTCACAGCGCTTCCTTCCCAAAGTGCAGCGCACATTCCGCAAAGTTAATAATTTTGACACCATTTTCTCAATTATCAACCCAAAATGAAAAAGTAATCCAACTCAAAATTTTTCGCAATTCTCAAATTCACATATAAAATTTCGCGTCGAATTATTCTTTTCGTAAAAGATACAACCATAAACAATTATCAAATGAAGAAACCGAAGAAATCATAAAGTCACTTTATCAGATAATAAAACATCATGTTCACGATCATCGATTGCAAATTAATCCCATAATATCGTACGAGACAAATTCGTAAAATTCATGCGAAAAAATATTGGCACGACTCTGCCTGCAGAAACCAAATACCGCAATCCCTAATGGCGGATTCATTTTCGTGACGTAATAACCCAAGAAGGGTTCCCTCAACAAGAAATACAATATCAGGTACCATTAGGCAACACGAATCCTCATTAACCGCCAAGCCACTCTAATCCGTACGACTTGTCCAAGGGAAATGGGTGACTAACGGTAAAGTTCCTTTACGCAATTTACATTCCAAACGAAGCTCACGTGTAAACATGCCCAGTTGAGATTCACACACGTTACCGAGCATCCCGGTTACCGGCCAATACGCACGCAGCATACTTTTTCGTCAGAGCACTGTAACACGTGAATGTCGATATAATACATTCTATATGAAGACATATACTTGAATATCTATATACACAATGGCTATAGAAATACAGGTAGGTACAGCTAGGCGTATCCAACATTGACCAATGATATATTTACATATATCGTGCCCAGTATATATTCCATCCAGATGCAGGATATAATATATCTACTGCACACGGTGTACAGTCTACTTGTAGACGTAGCATACACACGTCTTAATATTGTGAGCAACTGGTGCTATTAGCAGCCGGTAGTTATATAGTATACATTAAAGTACAGTTTATGCATTTTGGATATATATATATGAAAAATATAATATAATTATCAATGACGTATATATATATATTTGATACGGTTTTAATAGTGATTAATCAATAAAGTATTGGAATCAGCTATAATTCCTTGTATACATAAATAGAATATGCATGTAACTGTAGCATTCATTATGCAAGTTAGGATATCTAGAGACTATAGTACCGCCACTTTCAAATATCTCTATGATTAACGTATTAGACTTTGGAAGCTCCCATCTACATTTTTCAATCCCCAAGCATTGTGCGAGATATTCCTCGGACTACGGAATCAGTATTTGCTGTGTTTATCTGAGGAATATCGCCGACCGCATAACACAAATTGTTTCGATGTCCGATATGAGTAAATGGCAAACGTCAAAGGACGTTAAAGGTATAGCATAGGATTTAAACCCACGCTGAGAAAAATGAAGTTTCGTTATCATGGAATACCATGATCTACGATAACGAGCCAAAAATATGCTAATTTATGCATTAAGTATGACTACCATTATTGCCATAATCTTCATGTGTTTTCAAGTTACCATGCAATTCGGGAATTTAATATTGAAATTTGGGGCTTTTTGTGTCTGAAGTTAAAACTTCATTTTTCTTCGTACACGTCTGACAATCTGAGCGTGTTCGATTATCAGTAATTTTTTAATGTTAGTAGGTCTCGAACAAATATTAAGAGAGCAGCGAAGAATAATGATAATATTAAATTTTGCTAATATCAAAAGATTACAGGAAAATATAATAACTGTAAGTTTATCTTTGACAATACAATGGGACTTGGATAACTCGAAATTCTATGAGTCAAAAATCTCTATAAAGCTATGAATCTTCGAATTTTCTAATGCTTCACCTCTATAACTTGAAAAAGTTGATAGGTCAAACTACGTCAAGTCGAAGCATATTTCGTTTTCCTTGAGATTCGAGTTATCGAAGTTCCACCGTAGTAATCAATATGTACTAAAATATAATTTATTTTGTGCTGTCAATTTTATTGACTTGAATTTGGGTGTTTTAAGAATACGTCTTGTGTCCAGTTAACACACAATCAGGATTGGTTAGAAAATCGCTGCGCACAGCATCACGGCTAATTCGAGGTACGAGTGCGGTGTTGATGAAGAAAAATACGACAGTGATGTTTAACTTGAGTAAAGGACGGCCCTGAGCGTTCCTGGCTGTCCCCGAGCCCAGCTGACAGAAGACAGGTGATTGCTTGAGATATTCCACTCGTGCGTTTCGTCACTGGCTCGGCCAGCTGATGCTAAATGGAAATCGCCACTGACAGCTGAGCAAAGAACGGTACCGAGATGGGAATTCGTGAAAGAATGCGAAGAATCACTTGAAACAAGGAAGATATTAGGGCATCGGTTGGTATTGTTAAAAAATAGTATACGATTAGAAAATAAAAAAGATACATCGTAAAGATTAAAATAATGGAACAAAGAGGAACGACGAGTCGGCCGCCATTTTCCCGGAAATCAGAACGCAGAAACAAAGGATGAGTTCGGTCAATTTCCAAACAGAGTCAACGGGAAATTACAGGGAGCATTGACGGTGAACAGTCTTGGCGGATAATACTCTTTGGATGCGGTTAGATGTTTAATTTTTTTAAAGCGAAAGACACTCCACTCGCGTAATGTCGTCACCGGTAGACTCAGCTGATGTAAAATGGCCGCCGTGCTTGACAGCTGAATCGCATTTACTTTTATACTTATAAAAACAATCGAAGGGTATCCTCTGGTATTTGCATATAAATGAATTACTTGAAATACTTTAATTCGTAGTTTTCACGAAAACACTGTATTTACTGATATATTTAGAGCATTATGTTAGAAGACATGGTGGGACTGTCTTGTGCGATTAATGGCTTTGGCCAAAGATCTTACGAGCCTTAAAAAGGACTCCACTCTCAAGCATTTCGTCACCGGCTTCCTCAGCTGATAACAAAATGGCCGCCGCGTTGTGACAGCTGAGCAACAGCGGGCGCATAACTTGGTAGAGTTTTCGTAATACATCTACGGTATACAGAGCGATTTTAAATCGTGATATATCAAAGATCCAAACTAACCTATTATATCGTACTGTCGAACAATTAAACAAAATCGAAAATGTCACAATAGAGTGTCGTATGAACATTGCGCAGTGGAAGGTCTTCGCATTGACGGTCTCCAGTCGCACATTTTTTCCCGTTCTTCTTGTCCTCCGCCCGGCGAACCAATGGGAGTATGTAGGTCAGCCGCTGAGCCAATGAGCGTCGAGGAGTAGATCACGTGGGTTTGTTGTTATCTATCAGCTGTTTTTCCCGGGCGGCCGGCCGGCGCAGTGAAAGCCGCCCGGTCCTCAGTCCCAGCCGGTCGGCCAGCTGTGTCGTGTCATATGTCCGCTCGCGGTTCGATTTAACAAACTGCGTCATCGAGAAAATCGTAACTCGCCTGAAAACAACATTTTGTTTAAAAATCCTTCAATTCTTACGGAACGGCTCGCCTAGCCAATTACTTCGAGGGCACTTCCCTTGCTATTATGCTGTCCGCCAGGAGACGAGGCATACCACCGCATCGCTTTGTGCGTTCCGTGAGGAGTTCCTTTAACGGCGAGCACGCTCAGCGGAGAGCTGGGCTATGACCTAAGGACCAGTGGTTCTCAGTGCAGTGCATTATTACCCCGATTAGTTAAGTAGTACGCGTGTTAGTTAAGTGCGTGGCCATGTCGACGGGCAAGAGACTGGCCAAGCGTAGCATCATCGGCACCAGGGTTTGCGCCCCCGGGAACGACGGTAAATACTACAGTGGCGTGATTCACGCAGTGAAAACACCGGCGAGTACTACTGCCGAATCTGGACTTAGCATTACTCCCAAGACAAGGTACTCTGTAAGATTTGACGCGGTACCAGGTGGTCGTCCGCCGAGTCCAAGTACCGAGTACTCTGACAGGGACCTCATTGGACCTGGTTTTGGTTCTGTCACTGCAGCCATACTCGTACCTGGACAGAAGGTCTATCTCACCTACAACGGACGGGAGATACACGCCGAGGTTACTCAGCATCGAGAGCACTTGGACGAGGTTGACGTGATCATTGCGCCCAATGGTCAAGAGGTCGGCTTCACATTTTTACTCCTTTCATTCATCATTCAGTCATTCTTCTCTGTTTTCTTTCCTTACCTGTTTGTGCACTAACAGTTTCTTACTCCTACTAAATCTCTGCTACCGGCTTTACTATTGTGACACTTACCCATGCTCTTTTGTTTCTGCTACAGTCGAAGCGTCATTCTTTTATTTTCTATTTATGACCGTGTCACCGATAGATTTTGGACGCTCTTTTTTTTTTTTGAATTCGTCGATGTTTCATTCGAGATACGTTTGTGTATGAATTTTTACATTGAAGCAGTTTTCGTTGTGCACTTGTATAATTTTACATTTTTATTACGACATTACTCTGATTTAGAATTGTATAGAGAAAGCGTAGTTGCGCGCGTCGCCGCTAGTGGCAAAGCGTGGCGTTCTTTGTCTTATTTTGCTACAGTGAAAAAATAAACAAGATACTGTAGCCGGCTTTTCGTGCTGGTTGTAACAGTAACGGTAACGGTTATAGGCAAACTTTTTTCGGCATTTTAAAGAGAACGAAGTAACGGTCTGTCTTAAATACCAATACGGTACTACGCAGCCCAATGTTTATTTTTACTTTCGTCGCGTTCGAGCGGACACTATTGGCTGAACGACATTCACGTAACCGAGAGTAGAGTAGATAGTAATAGTAATGACGATAACAGTGATGCTCTTAAAACTCTTACCTTGGCAACCACCGTCTCAACTGTCATCACTCGTTAAATACCCAATTTATAAGACGTCGATAGTGAAAAAAAAATATGTGCCAAAAGTAATAAGTGAATCGAATCAATAACTTTCCCGCCATTACGTCCATTGAGGTAAATAACAACACAGTCATCGTTCGTCCACATGTCAAATGCTTTCGAGATGCACATATATACGTTATGACTATCATGTATGTCACGGCACTGATAACCGTCTCACGTTTAATGATAATAATTCAATAGTATGTTCAGGGCAGTAATAGTAGTAAGTAATTTCTTGTCCACGTGTCATCGTCATTACATCTGTCTGCTGGAACTGTCAAAAGGGTATCTCAAAAGTTACCACGATTACGGTTGGTTACTTGTATTTCTTTTTTTCTTTTTTTTTTTTTTTGTTCTTTACGATCATTACGTACCAGTTTAGAAACGATGCTATATCATTCCCATTACTATTAATACATACGAAAGAACGGTAACTGGCGTAACAAGCGTACCATGTGCCATTTTATCGCGCGAGATTACACCTGGTGCGCTCTCCGTCAGCCCGGCGATCGTCGTCATCGTTGTCGTCGACGTCGTCGCCGACGCGAACCACCAATGCCAATGCCCGCCCGGCGAATGATCCTAGCCCGCCGGAAGTGGCGCTCTCGTGCGGCAAGGCCAACAAACTTTGGTTGCCAGTGCTGATTCACGCGAGACACTATGACAGTTGCCGATTGTGTGGAATTGAGAAATTGTGATTAGAATTTCATGAAAAGAATCGTTTTGTTATATTGTGGGATCGAATTGTATCTTATTACGTGCTTGGAGTGACATTCTGTTATAAAATATGTGTTCAAAGTTTACCGTTAATTGCGTTACCCGTGCATCGAGTTGCTTTGGAGGTTATTTTTGAAAAAGTGAGAAATTCGTTCTTGTACGAATTCCTGGATTTACGTGGTTGCATACCGTATGTCGAAATCGTCCGTCGAGTCGGGGGTAGGGACCGACTATTTAATGAGAAAATTTAATTTTCGTGACCTCGTTCCTAAAGTGTATCAAATGGACGTCCTCGTTTGTAACGCGCATGCGCGCATCGACGGTGTGTCTCATAGGAGATTATGGCGGTTAGGGGAAAGACCAGGAGCGATGCAGGCGAGCTGAAAACAAAGAGAAGTAAATGATCCAGTCGCTGGGATGCATGAGAGTCATTGCGTTTGGAATTTCGGCAGACTGCGTTCTTTGTGTCGGAACGATTTACGTTTTATGCAGCTATTCTGTTGCGCTCTCAAGCAACGCCGTTCCACAATGACATTTAAACAATTTGGATAAGACGTTCGTTACGTTAAATTTGATAGAAATGCTTTGTGGTAATCGTCATTAAAAAAATAGTTTGCCTTTATATTTCTCGCGGAAGTGTAACATAACAAAAAATTTTATTACTAGAACCTTGCGACTTGGAAATTGTTGCACTTGCCGCACGCTGGTTGCTCGTGCACAGAAATAACCAGATGGTACGCGCGGCTCAGTTTTCTCTTTTTTTCTTTCGTTTTGCATCTAAATTAATAAAAATATTTTCCGAGATGTAGCGTAACTTAGTTGGCCAAGTCTTGCCATCTGACGCGATGCCGTACACAATAATACCATTTACCGCTATTGCCGGTCCCTAGATACGTAGCTATCGTTTGGCATCATGAGAGAAAAAAAAGTTTCTAGTAATTACAGCGTTATTCATTTATAATCAGAATCGCCAACCCATAATTCGTAAAGCAGCATATTTTTCCCTGCTGGATTAAAACTATGAAAATTGAAACCCTTAATATTCCTTATTCAGTCGAGTTTCCTCGCTTCCAGCATCGTTCATATGACAAGTCATACGTACCGATAGCCTGTTACATTCCTCCTTAAATAAAAAATTACCGTTTCGACATAGACAAGGAAAAGAACAAAAAAAAATAACATTAAACCTTAGATTTAGGATTTTTCACAACAGGCTCCCTCACACACTTATTCTGTGGTTTAGTAAAGTTACGTTGTCGTTCATCCTATAAACAGACTTTATGAAAACAACATGGAAACCTATACTCTACGTGGCCTCGGATCCCGCTAGCCGGGCGCGGCTAGATTCGTAATAGGTATGAAGCGCGTTGCTACAGAGTCTCGTCAGTGATACGACAAACATGCTCAAAGAATACTTGACCATAGCGTCACTGGTTCTCCCGGTTCATTTTCAAAGGATTTATACCGCATGATTATTCCACACAAAAAAAATAGGTCGACGACAATTCAATATAAAACAGTCCTACTAAAGTATTAGGCATCTTAAGTCATTGATTGTTATTGTTACCCTCGTTCTCAAATACATCACAAGTCATGTAAAGCGTCCAAAGGAACTGCGACGTCACTCGAGTGTAACACGTCGTTTTCCTACTTCCGTCGCTTGTCAGTATTTCAAGCGTGTTCCGAAATTTGTTGAAAGTACTGCAAAAGTATATCTCATTCAGATACGTATGAAAGAATAAGGACAGCGTTGGTTGCAGTACTGGCAGTAAGTTTCGGAACATACCCTTCATTAGCCACGTTATCGCACTGCCAATCCCATTGACAGTAAATTTCACCGTTACCTAAATACTAAAAATTCCGGTACATTCCGTTTACCGGAACAAACAGTATACCAGGTATCGTGTATCTGAAATGGGGAAACTCGTAGTTCACGGTACTGAAAAAAAAAAAAAAAAAAAAAAAAGTACAGTAAAACCAGAAAGCTACCGTAGTCCGGATTGTCTGTTACGTTTGGCAAATCCACTTCACGCTCTGTCAAGCAAGTCTCGTAGGTACAGTTTGGTATGAAGGAGCAATAGTAGCGATGGGAGTAAATTTTACGGCCGTATAGTTTGGATTACTGTAATACACGCTGGGATAGTGCTGTTCCGTCGTACTATTATACTATAGCACCGTACTACTACATTACTACGTAGCACGATGAGAGGTATTAAGGGTGTCAGAGTTCCCCGCGTGTGAGGTTGAGTAAGATCTGGTTGCGTGGAGCCAAAGATAGGCGGAGCAACTTAGCCGACGTAAACAACGTTGTGCGCATGCGCGATGGGTCGTACGTCACGCGACCAGAAGAGACCGAGCAGCCGAATCAACTGAATATCCAGGAACACCGCAACGCAGCATTTAAACTACGATGCCGTACTGGCTTCGCGTCCCGTTTTTGAATCGCCTGACTTTCATTCCGCCGGTTGCCTCTCGCAGTACAATTGCACGGATATCCTTGACGCACCAATTTCAGGCATTAATTACTCGCTCGAGGTATCGTTGTTAATATCAATTTGAATTCTCTTCGTTAACCATAACCATGGGAAGCGATCATCGTTGCTCATGGTAATCATTGAGTACCCGAGCTAGAGGTTGCGCTATCTCTTGCATTACCGTTCCAGTAAGAAGTCTCACTGGTGCTGCGGCGCTAGCGATGGTTTGTCTGGCGATAGGTTAGGTTAGGTTGTAAACATAGTAGTACATCAACGAGAGATATATTTTCCTTTTTTTCCCATAATGCATATTAATGTCACTCGTTATCGTTAATAAGGAGCATAATACTGCAACGCGCTCGTTATTATTTTCTGGCCCACTAACGATGCATGATATTTATTTACAAGTCGATCGGGTTTTGTTCTCTCTCAGTGGGACATAAGATACTGGTTGGCTTTAATGGTAAATGGCAACGGTCTCTTAGCGATCGTGAGTTTAAATTGGAATTCGGCCGTTGGAACCCGGGCGTCTTCTTCCGATGCGCAGAATGACTTTTCTATTGGTTGTGCGCATATTGGATGAATTAAGTGCGCATGCGCAGAAGCCTTGGTCGCGAGCTAACGCATCCTCTCGTACACCGCTGATCTGCCAGACGAGGTTATGTCACTGCCACTTACGATCAGACGGTAAATAGGTTACGCAAGAGTGATCGCTGCCGGGTTACCACAGAGTATTACCTCAACGATTTAGTGCCTCGAGGAAATGGCGGAAACAATGGCGCATGCGATTCATCGTACTAGGTTTTTTTTTTTTTTTCAATTGTCGCTTCTGACCGTTAATACTTTTCTTGTAAACTGTATATACGTATATAATCTTCTCTTTTTCTCTCTCGTAATTCTTCCCGTTTCTTGCTGATATCCTGAAACGTGAAACTATGGTCGGTCGCTCGAGCATGGCTCTGTGCAATTTACTGGCGCGGGTCTCAATCGGCAGCACTCGGGGTATAGACGCTGTTACAACAGCGTAGTTCGTAATGTTATAGAGGAGCGATATAGTCGGGTCGCCTTTAAAGCACGGCATTAGCCTACAATGACGAGCATCGAGGACTTTCCACTTTCTCTCGTGAATTCGGCAGACTGTATGCCGATTGAGCGAAGATCGTTTCTTAGTTTCTTGTGGCCAACTCTAAGTAGGACGTAGCCGACATAGGTCGGCCACGAAGAGAAGCAAAAGTGAGAGTAGGTGGCTCCGATCTAGAACGGCCAGCTGGATGCCGCTTAGACTCTGTAGCATTTAAAGCGTTGTTCACAATGTACGACCAGGAAGACATTGATATCAGTTTAGCTTGTTTATATGCATAATATTTGTTTCTATCGAAGGATGCACTGTCCTAGGGGTATGCAGGGTACAAATTTTGCGAATAACAGTTTACAATGAACTTTTATCTCGGGTAAAAAAAGAGGCTCTTTGTATATTCAATTTTACTCTTCATCTTTGAAAAGGTCCGGAGGTCTAGTTTAACGTGGCTGAAGGACAAGTAGAATGGATTCTTCGAAAACAATGGAACTCCTGTGCACAATACGTAAATGCTGGACAGAGTCCGGCGCATTTGGAATTCGGAGCTTCATGCCGTCGAGTCTACCTGCAGAACACGTGCGAGATTGCGTGGGAACGATAGCTAGTCTAGCACGTAGTTGGAAATCGGGCTCCCTCCAGGAAGCGATGCACGTGTACGTAGAGTTAGGCCTTATTGGACGTTAGGTCACCCTAGTCGCGTAGTAAGGCCCTTATTGGGGTTTCGTGTCCAATCTACTCCGGTGCCTATAAAGTAGGTACCTGCGAGAAAGCCCTTTATAGGTATGAAGAAATACATCGCGGGCCTTACGGCCCCCCGTCACAAGGTCCCGTGAACCTTAAGAAACACGATTAAATCAATATTTAGTAGTTGGGACCCATTGAGAAAAGTTGCAAACGTCGTTCGAGTCATTTAAAAGGCGGTCGGTACTTGTCAAGAGGTCCCCAATCATAAGAGCCTGGGCCCTTTGCCACGTGTAATGGCAGTACTTATTACTCTCAAGTGTTCACCATGGCCGTCAATCGTGGCGCATATAACACCGTCCACAATGACGATTCGTCATAACAAAAGCTTGATAGCTGGAAAAAAAAGATTCCCCGCCATCGAACTCGGGTCAGTTTATTGACCCAGAAGCAGAGTCGTATGAAGTAGCTGATCTCGATGGCATCGTCTGGGACCGTTTTATAAATATGCCCCGCGTACGTCGAGCCGTAATGGACGTGCAGGTAGCGAATTTCAATGGGCCCAGTCACGAGGAGTCAGTCCCAACAGCGCTTGGGTAATTACCCGGGGTGAATGGACAGGCAAAGAATTTCGATGAGTATTAAAAGACATCGCATTATGTAAATAGGGGACGTATTCCACGCTGCAAGGCCCATATATCATACAGCGCCTATAAATACGACCAGACTATACCTTCTATGTCGAGCACATGGTATACTTTTAAAAGAATCCTCGCGATCCATTGTGTTCATAGAAAAACTTTAATAACATTTATTTATTCCCATTCAGCATCCGTCCGTATCATCTTGCTTCACCTTAAGTCACCTAACTGATCCATATAATTCTGTGAAAGGAGAAGCACCGCACACCCAAGAACCAGGTGAATATATATCAAGTCTAAATCATCTTCATCGGCTCGCACTGAAGTTCTAAGGCCGCATCCACATTCGGCGCACAATAACTAAGGCTAACGTAGCATTATGGTAGCTCCATAATTCATGCGTTGCATACACGATCCTCTTGCGGCACGCGCAGGAGTACAAGGTTGCATCAGCAGCAGTAGTACGTAGCAGCATTGAGTTCTAGGAGTGTTTGTTGATGGCGGGTAGAAGGGGATGTATATATAGGTATAGGAGTGGGTGGTCGTAGAGAGGGTCAATCTCTCTCTCTCTCTCTCTCTCTCTCTCTCTCTCTCTCTCTCTCTCTCTCT